GTTGCTCTTGACATCACGAAAGCGTTCGATCAGCTGTGGCATGCTGCCCTCTTAAGCAAACTTCCATCCTATGGCCTCCCAGAAAAGCTTTGCAGATGGGTGACTTTATCTCTGGCCGCAAGACATCCGTCGTAATTGACGGATTCTCATCTTCATCCCACAACGTCAATGCGGGTGTTCCCCAGCGATCGGTCTTGGCTCCAACACTGTTTCTCTTACATATCAACGACCTCCTTTCCTGCACGATCAACCCAATCCACAGCTTCGCTGATGACAGCACTCTACATGCAGGAATTCAGAGTGACAAGCCGATCTCTACCGCTGAGCTGGAAAAAAGAAGACTAGCGACGACTTCTTGGAAACTATGGAAATTCTCCATACATTCTGGACAAACAGCTTCACATTTCTTACATACATACCTCGTGCGTTTTTACAGTTCCTGTCGGGAGAACGAGGTGGATTTTTGTAGTTAATTTTCACAGGAAAATGTCTTATTCCATCATTCCATCATTCATTGTCACTTCGCTAAGAGGTCTGTCTCTTTTTGACGTGCTACCATTCATCTTCAAAATTGTGCTAGCTACTGGCGCATTGAACTCAATAAAGGGGATTTTTTTGGTTTTAGATTTTTTTATACAGTATCCAAGAATTGATCATACTATAGTCAAATACCAGAATTGATGACAGTAGCAGAAGTCATCGTGCGCTACTGCTTTGACGTGGTACCTTTTGGTTACAGCGACGTTTGCCAACATTTCACAAAGAGGCGCCGCGTAATAGCAGTGTCGTACGATGAGTTTCGCTACTATCATCAATTTTGGTATTTTACTATAACATTTAAAAAATGGAATGCTATCCGCATGTATAACTTTTTGTTCTTTGTGCCATGCCACTACATTGTTTTATTGCTTGAGGTCTTTGAATTTCAATATATTTGTGTTCCTTTCAATTCCAACGTGTTCTCTGGTTCCTTTGCAGTAAAACTAGAAATCATATATGAATAATTTTATTGTCAGCCCATCGCGTAACTGTTATATTATCAGAAGAAGTGGCTACCGAAACAGCACCTGGCCCTTGTTTCAAAAGTCATTTTTCCTTTACTAGTTTTTCTTCAGCCTCACTCATTGTATTGGATTTAACTCTTCCAACAACATAAATACCGTTATTTTTCAGGTAACTAATAATCGGAGTTGACGGAAAAAAGTTAGAGACATAGCCATCAGCAGACGCTCTCACCCACACTTTGAATCCCCATTTTTTCGGTTTTGACTTTATATAGTTTATTTTTGCTTCTACCTTTGAATGGAATAATCATCTCGTCTAAAGCCATATAGTCAGTCGGACTACATGAAGTGGCAAATGTCTCTGCAAGGGCATCTAGGAATGGCCGTACTTTGATAAACAAATATTTATTTTCTGATGAAATGTATTTGTTGTTTATAAAATGCAAATATCGCTTGATATCTTCATACCTTTTTAACGCCATTCTATCAGCAATAAGATGTCCACGTGAACCAGAAATCGAAGACCAGTACATTGTATATGACGAATACTTATATATAAGTCATAACTATGTTTATAGCAAACAAATTTATTTTCTCGGAAGTAACGTAAAACTCTTTTCCGGATTGTACAGCATATCGTCTGTACCGGCTGTAATGCGATCAAAAAGTTTGTCTGGAAAAATTTTCCTGAAAAAAGCATAAGGAGTTTCACCGTCAATGTTTATTTGATGGTGAGATAAAAATGGTGATGGATTATTTGTGAAGTAATTGTCTTTTTCCGCAACCCAAAATCTAGTATTTTGTTTATTCTGGAGTTTTGCATTTGGCCGTCGAGTACAATGAATCAGGGGCAAATCATCTCCACTATCACTAGAAGTAGAACTTCCGGAGTTGTCTATGGTATTATTCGTGCTCCTGTTTGCTCTGTATCTGAATCATCAACTTCTATTTCCTCGAGGTCCGAACTATTTGGATTTTGTACAATATCCAAAAATTTTATTTCTTTGTTTTGCCGCAAAACCATTTTGGAGAAATTTCGGGAAGTAATAATAATAATAATAAACGGCTTTATTGGCGGAGTTTAGCACAGCTATTCTTACACTCAACCTGTGTATCTGAAAATTAGGAAAGTAGGTATTTAGTAAGAAAAATTAAACGTAATGTGTAAAACTAACATCGTTTTACCATAAAAAATCTACAGATATATACTCATAGGTATTTTTAGAAACAATAGAAGCAATTATTATGAAAGAAAAGGGTAAACTTAGAAGTAATGCTCATATGAATCAGATATATTCATTTCAAGGAATCTTACAATGCCTCCCCACAACCTGCTTTCGCAAATATTTCATTTCCAACGCGGTTATTCTCTATAACGAACTTCCACTAGCCATAAAATTTGAAATTCATCATAAATTCCATATTGACGACGAAAAAAAATACGGCCTATTAGATAGCACCTATTGAGCTAAACTGACGCCATGGTAGGTTTTGAACCCAAACCTTTTCGTTTTACAGAAATGTAGAGGTATCATCCGTTGTATGATAGGATTATTAATTCAAGTGTAGAATTTTAACTTAAGCGAATTAAGCAATCATTTGCTAAATTTTCTCTGCAGTTTATTTTTATTATTATGAATTATTTTCAAACCAACTATCATTATTCCATCTGTTGATATGACTGCTTGGCCGCAATTAGTTATCGAAAATTTAGCTTTTGAGTATACTAATTTGGTTAATTGCCCAGTAGTCGATTTCATAAAATCCCGAGCTTATGAAGCAAGGCAATTTTTGGCACTGTGATACAGAAAAGCAATCCACAAAATACAAGGGGCAGCTTAACAAAGATGGACCTTTTCCGATATGTTACCTTATATTTCACCGAAGTATTTCTTATCAAACAAAGCAAAGCGCGAATCTCTAGTCATGTCTAAAATTATTTATTGCGATATTGTTCCATTTTCATGCTTCTTCAAATAATTAGAAATTCCTGTTGCAGATTGGTCAGTAACTTAAGAACGTATGATCTTATCATCTCTTATTCAAGAGGCATGAAATGACTGAGAGTAAAGAACTATATGAGTTACTTATACCCATATGCATTTACTCGCATCCATTCCTCCATTTTTAAAGGGTAAACTCAGAAGTAATATTCCTATGATATTCCTTTATCTGGCGTTGACGGATCCGTCATGATTTTGTCATTTGTCGATATGGGGAATTTTGAAATATTACTAGATAATGAGCTGTTTGTTATTCTACCGTAATGCATACTCGTGAAAAAAGAAAACAATATGCTAAAATTCATTATTATATAATAAAACAAAATTTGATTAGTTTGTTAATATGGAAAATAAAATTTCATTATTTTCGCTAATCTGCTCGACGCTGACTATTTTCGTTAATCCGTCCGACGACATTGACTACGCTCATTCGAGCTTTTTGCCAAATAATCTTAATTTCACCGAAATATTTACGTTAATCAGTGTGACGTCATCACCTACCATCTCGTATGAGTTGTTTGCCTACCATCCAATCTGGGTTGAAAAAAAAAAACGTTTAAAAAAACACAAAAATCATGTTGTTTTGTTTAAAACATCCAAATTTAGCTGAAAAAAACGTGTTTAAAACACTTTTAATACATGTTTAAAACAGTAAAAAAATAAATAAAAAACTATTGCCTATAAAAACTAGCAACGTTAATGAAGTTCCTTGAAGGTGTTATTACTATTTGTGATCCAGCTCTATCAGAACACACCTTTAATTTAAAAGCGGACGTCGGGAAGTACCGTTTGCCTTTGGGTAATTTTTCGCGTTGCGATTTCCAGCAGTCAAATGTGCGAAGTCGTAGCGTGGTGGTGTGTTTTGTTTTTGTGCATTGATGATCGGCAAACAACGAAAGGCAAAGACAGGGAGGAGAAAGGATCCCGTGTGGAAATATTTTAAGGAGACTGATGCTAAAGCTGGCTCGAAAATAAATAAAAGAGTAAAATGTTTAATCTGCAATATGGATATAGTGCCACTGGTGGCTAGAATGTGCAAGCATATTAAAAATTGTATACAACTTAAACAAGGAATTTTGTTAGAAAAACAAAATCTACATACAGGGTTTGTCCGGAAAGTAATAGGACTCATTTTCTTCCACCATAACTGTACTTCGGAGCGTGCGCGCACCGACTGGATTCGGTAAAGGGTGTTCCTAGCTAACGAATGAACGGCTGGTCAGTTGTCTCCGAGCACTTGGAGAGTCAGGGCAGGCATTTTCGCGCGACGTGTTTCTGTGAGTGGTGCAAGCCGAAAATGCAGCGTTCGTTAGAGCAGAGGTACGCGATTAAATTCTGTGTGAAACTCGGTAAATCTGCGACAGAGACCTTTGATATGATCAAACATGCTTACCCAGGAGTTGCTTTAGCAAGAAGTGGTGTGTTTCGGTGGCTCCAGGCCTTTTTGGAGTGCCGGGAAGAGGTCGCTGATGAAGACCGTGCTGGAAGACCTTCGACTTCGACAAACACCGATAATGTGACTCGTGTGCGCAAAGTTTTGAACTCAGACCGTCGACTAAGTATTCGTTTAATTGCCCAGATGTTAAATTTACCAAAATCTGTGGTTCATGACATTGTGACACAGCAGTTGAACATGCGCAAGGTGTGCGCGAAGATGGTCCCAAAAGTGCTCACTGACTGCCAGAAATTGCGGCGAGTGGAAGTGTGCCAAGAAAATGTGAACATGTGTGAAAGTGACCCCCAATTTTTGAATAACGTAATCACAGGTGACGAGTCGTGGATCTTTGAGTATGATCCCGAGACAAAGAGGCAATCTTCCGAGTGGCACACGACGGCGCCTCCTCGCCCAAAAAAGGGAAGAATGAGTAAATCCAAAGTGAAAACGATGCTCATTGTCTTTTTTGACATCAAAGGCATCGTCCACCATGAATTTGTTCCTTCCGGACAAACCGTCAACGCCAAGTTTTACGTGGAAGTGTTCAGGAGACTCAAACTAAGGGTCAGCCGGGTCCGACAAGACATCGCAGCCGACCGGAAGTTGCACCACGACAACGCCCCGGCTCACACCGCCTTTGTTGTGAACATCTACCTGACCAAGGTCGGCATCCCAACGCTTCCGCAGTCGCCCTACAGCCCAGATGTGGCCCCCCGGACTTTTTTTTGTTTCTTCGCCTGAAAAGGCCGATGAAAGGCAAGCATTTTGAGACGACAGAGGGGATCCAAAGCAGCATGCACCGCGGTTCTCAAGGCTATTCCGGAGAATGCCTTCCGTGACGCCTTCAATGCTTGGAAATCGCGCTGCCAGCGCTGCATCGATGCAGAAAGCGCCTAATTTGAAAGTTCTTGAAGAATTGTAACGATTGGCTCAATAAATTTTTTTAAATCGACTCAGTCCTATTACTTTCCGGACAAACCCTGTATATCAGATAGTTCTGATACCGAACCTATTTCCTCAAAGTAAATGCTGTTAAATTTTGTTTAAACATGTTAAATATATAAGTATTAAGAATAAAACAGGTTTGTATTAAGGCTGGGAATATATTTTTGGTTTTGTACAAGCAAATTTCTGTTAATCAATCGCATTGAATTTTTAGATATTATTACAATTATTACATGGTATACTTTTTTTTAAATGGCTCGTCACAGACCTACTATCCTAACAGCAATGTTATTAGTGCTTCCAGTTCAGCGTGATCCAGTTTTTCTCTATTGACGAGAAGACAAGGAAATAGAGACGATGTTCAACTAAAATCGCGACTGGATTCATTCATTGTCAAATAAACATGTAGCGAGAAGAAAAAAATTGATATCCAAGTAGCACGTTTTGTTTATGTCACAAACTGTGCTTTTAGAGCAGTGGAACACCCCGAGTTTAAGCGGCTAATGGAAATGTTGCATTCAGGATATTAGCCACCTAATCGCCAGCAAATAGGAAACGAACTTCTTAGTAACGTATACACAACTTTGAAAGTATAAATAAAAAAGGAATTAGGTAGTAAATCAGTATGCATGTCTGTTGATGGTTGTAGCAATATTAGAAATGATTCAATAGTGTGTATGTCCGTAAATGGTATTCATGAGGGTAAAGTATACCTAATTGACACTGAAGTGCCCACTTTGAAAGAACACATGAAGAATTTGATAAAGTACTTTGGAAATGTACACTTCGCAGCATGCAAATATAAAATATCTGGCGGAAAAGCTCCCGTGGTGCCACAAGATGTTAGATGGAACACTTTAGCTGGCTCTATTGAATCTTATATAGCGAACTGGCACATATTATCAAACATTTGTTTAGAAAATCGAGCTGCTATTGATATTCATATCTCGAAAAATTAATGATTTAAATTTGAAAATAAATGACCAGGACTATTTAGTAAAGTTAAAACAAATAGCAATTGCCCTGGATAAGATTAAACGAGATGACTGTACAATTAACGAATGCACAGAAATGTGTACAGGCCTATTTGCTTTTTTTAAAGAAAATGAAAATTGCACCATTTTGTAAAAAGGTTTCATATGGCTATGTCTCCAGCACACTATCTGGCAAATATACTAGATTATCGATTCCAAGGACTTAAATTGAATCTATAGCAATGCTAACAAAGAATTGAGTATGCCTCTCTTTATTATCCTGAAGCGATGCCTTTCATTGTAAGTTATAAGACAAAAACATCACCATTTAAGGATTATTTATTTCAAGACAATTTGAAACGCCTCACACCACTTGAAAGATAACTTAAATGAAGTTACAGTTGACAGCAGCTGCTTCATCTGCTGGGCTTGAGCCTATTTTTCCTCATAGGGGATAATCCACACCAAACTTCGTAATAAGTTGGACCCAGAAAAAGCGACAAAATTAGTCACAGTATTTAAACAATTAAATCAATGCGTGAAAAAGTAGATTATTGCATTTTTTTCTTGGAGTTCCGTAAAAAGTAGTGAAAACTAAAAATTTATTCTAGGTACATTTTCCATGATTTTATATATAAAAAATATGGATTTAAGGATTTTTTGATTCCTTGTTAAATAAGATGGGTTGTATATTTTTACAGAAATTTGTTAAGTAACTTAATGTTATTATACAAGTAAATACATAGTCATAATATTATATGATTATTCTGCTGCTTGTAGTGTTCTAGTATTAAAGTTCAATGCAGTTTATTAGGTTCACTCGTTCGTTAAGAAACAGATTTTTTTCCACTAGTATTAGTTCCCTAGTTTCATGTTTAATTAATTAATAAAAAATAAAGTATATTTTTTAATATGTTTTAATGTATGGACCTTTTAGTTTCGTTTTGCGAAATAAAATCGATTTTAATCATACTTGAGAAAATATTAAAAAAACTTGAATAATTCACAAATGACAAAAAACAGTGTTTAAAACACCCATTTTAAACATTTTGGTTAAAGCATAACAACCCTGCATCCAATAGATGGACTTGCTAGTAGATTGCTGTATAAAATGGGGGAAAAATCATTCCATTTGAATGAGATTAAAAAACATATTCAAAAAAAAAAAAGATTTAATGTATAGTTGATTATGTACAGTAATATAAAATATAGGCCTTATATACAGAATAGAAATTTATATAATTAAAAATGGCATCAAGCCTCAATACATATCTAAAAACAGCTTGTACGACTATAAAGCCTCAAAAATATACAGTGTTTCAAAAACCACATATGGAATTTTCATAATACTATATCAGTTAATATTTACAATTATTCTGTGTAGACTACCATTTTGTTTGGTTTTACAATGCACATAGTTTCCAAATGAATGTGATTGTTTATAAAGATAATTCCACTATTCAAGCAATATGAACAATTAGTACTAACACATTGAGCTTGTGGAACCAAATCTATTGTAGTATTTGAGAAATAAAATTAAGTTTCATTATATAAAAAAGTGTTTACAAAAGGGATTTAACCTCAATGGCACAACAGATGCATAGTATGTTCGTAAAGATGCATTATTGAAAAGTAGCCAAGTGGATATGGCACTCTGTGTAAGACTCGCCATTCAAGTTTTGTAAACATTTGAGCATACTTACGAACACACTTTGTATACTTCGCATAGTTTTTCCACTAATAATCAAGTATACAAATCTATTTTAATGATATAAATAACATATACGAAGTAACCTTGCTACATACTTGTATTTACATGATGAATGCATTTGACTTCATGATTTTTCCTATTAATGCTCTTATAAAGTTAATATTTGTATTCTATCTCTTTTGAGTAATATTTATTACAACAAGTATACATACCATTATCTACCATAGCTTGTCATTATCTGTAAAGCTATGGTAGCAATAGGTATGTATTAGGTATGTTTGTGTTGTAAGAATTTAATTTTTTTCAATGTAAACCATAATGGAAAATGTCAATTTATAAATTATTAATGTTATACCAGCGCATATTTTGGCGTGCGTATTCCTACGCAAATTATGAACCAATTTAGTGTATAAATGATCAATTAGAGGAAAAACTATGACACTTTTACATTATATGTAATGATGTATTTGCATCAATAAATAATCACATAAAGATAGAACAAAATATTTTCATGCAAATTACATAATGGGGGATGCAATAACAATAGAAGTGAGCTGACGTACTACAACCCGCTTTGTCACGTGATACAATACAATGCATTGTGTCCCGTGACATAAGCGTTCACGCTCCATCAGGAACTTTTAAAAAAATGATTTCAGTTGTTTTGCGTTGAACTGGTGTGTATGAAAACAAAATGATTGTAAGAGACAAAAAATATTTAATTCATTAAAATTCAATAATAAGTCCTGATAATGCGAAATAATTTATGATTGATGCAAGCTTCATTTATTACTAGCAATAAACTAATACTTTCATAATATTTCATCTAGTGGCATATTTGCCCTATATATCACAGATCACTTTTAAATATGATTCTAAAATTTCTAGAAGTCCCACATACAATTTAAAGCTAAAATAGTTTTTCTAACCTCGATATAGGTAGTACCCATGTTCTTAAAAACCCAACATTTTTAAAGTAACAAGCAAACATATGACTTATCTGACAAAATCAAAGCAATGCATATGTCATGTAATTTCAAAAATCTAGCTCTTTTGAGAACGGGTATACCAACCCTGTATTGTAGTGATATCTTATCAAAAAATTAGGAAGAGCCGTTTTATTTTCATTGCTAAATCGAAAATCAACTAAAAGTAAACTCAAGTTGCAACCCCAATGCAAGTTTTCATACTGACACTGACAAGCAATATAATTGTAAAAAACTCATATGTAACGAACAATTTTCGAGGCATCGAGACAAAACTGAGAAACATACATATATCTGTGAATCTAAAAACAAACGAGATGTCAGTCTGAAACTGATACAGGAAATTTTACTCATAATAGGTTTTTAACAATCCTTTTTTTTAATCATAATAATTGATTTTTAACTAACCAATTACATGTTTTAATCGATTTTTGTAAATAGCGCCATCTATACGACAGACGCAAAACTCGAAGCAAGTTCACAGTTCACTAACATGAATAAGTCGATAAAAGACGACGCCATTAATTTGTGTGTATATAAAGCAGTTCCATAACTTTTCATACGATTTTTTTTTCTTTTAGGAAGTTAAACATTAATTTTTGGTTAACAGTAAAACTGTATTCTGCCAGCTGAAAGATTATTTTTCAAAGCGAGAAATATGATCGGGAAACCACGAAACCGTATTTTAGGGGAAAGATTATAAAAATCAATATTTAGTATTTTAGTTACGAAACCATAACGTTCTGGTTTTGTTATTATACATATTGTTTATTATTTTCATTATAGTCAAATGTTAAATGGTACTCGACTGAACATTTGTGTCAATTTTTTATTGTTCAAAGTTCAAAAAAGTTTTTTGTCTTGCATTGGTTTTTTGATGTGTCATTAATTGGACTGATTTTTTTATTTTAAATGTGATATTTGAAAAACGTTTGTTTTTGTTTTCTAGTTTTGAAATCAAAAGGATGTCGTGGTTATTTTAACACTCATCGTATCATTTGATTTTCATTCTGATAAATGGTTAAGGTTGATTTACTAATTTTACTATAACAATATATAACTAATAGAAAAATCGATTTTTACAGAAACATAGATTTTTTTTTCGAAAATCAATTTTTCACAAAGCGATTGAGAATGAAACAGAAGAAATTGGTTCTCCATTACTTATTTATTCATTGTCACACATTGTCGAAAAAAGGCATCAAACATACGGAAATGTTCACCTGATTTGCTCTTTTTTGAACGATTTTGCTAGAAATTTTACAAAGTCATTAACCAGCTCAACGCTAAAATACTCAGATATGAATTACCGGACGTAACATACAACATACCCTAAAGCTAATATTCACACTTTCGTCCCATTCTGTTGATGCTCCCCTATCGTGACCTGGGTGACGAAAGGTCCCCGACCTCTGCTCCCAGGATGTCTCGTCTGCACAGGTGGGTTCCTGGGCAGCGAGTTTGAGTTGGCATCTTGGTAACCCGGAGGAGGAGGGTTATGTTGTTGTTTGGTCGTTCGACTGCTCAACACAGACTGGACGGATTCGTACTCGTAGTAGTTGGAGACGGGGCGCAGTTGGTTGTCTGGCCGCGTTTGGCGTTGGGAATGGTACTGGTGTTGCTTCCGACTAAAAAATTAACAAACCATACCAATAAGCATTTTACAAATTTTATTAGGTCGTGTCTACTCAGACAATGGGTCGCATGCACGTAAAAAATATTGTTTGTATCACAACCATATATGTTGAAATGTGAAATGACTACAATTTTAACCGTTTATACTAGAGTGGTTGCAGTAGGAAATACGTGCAGTTTGTTTTTAGGAGCCTTAAAGAGATCTCTGAGCTTTTTAGGCGATACGCAAATATATACCCTATTTCACGAGTATCCATCACGGTAGAATGACAGCGGATTATCTCGTAATATCCCAAAATTCCCCATATCTGCACAGGACACATAATTCTGATGGATCCGTGAACGGCAGGTATACAGAGCCATATTTTGTTTTAGTTTTTATACGCGACAGATTCATTTTGTACTTGCTAACAGCACTTTTATATAGAAAAGTTCATTTGCATACAAAAAACAAAACGATACAAAACAAGTTTTACTAGATTTATACTCGATTCATTATTGCCAACGTAGCAGACTAACACAAAAATGGCACTTGCAGATCAGCTGTTTACCTCAGTAGGCGTCAAAGCGTGATGGATACTCGTGAAATAGGGCATAACATTTCTGACAATACAAAACAATGCAATTAATCTCATTGTCTGAAATGGACGTCTGCCCCATGTGTTTAGATCGGCAGAAGAATAACGATGCATTTAAGGGTGGAAAGCATGTCTAAGCAAATACGCACATATTTTGGTCTTCCAAGATTTAATTGCGCCGACACGTGCTCGCAACCCATCAAATACTAGAAATATGCCGTAAAATAACGGAAATGTTTTTATTTTCCACATCAATAGACGAGGAAAGTGTAATTGCGAAAAATGTCGAATTCGATAATGTTTTTCAGACGCTTCATGATAGGTACTTCGCGGAAAACTGTGCCCCGTATTTCCGTTGATCAATCTTCGGCGTCGTATGTCTGATAATCTTTGTCTCTTCAATAATATCCAATCGGATTTCGTTGACTTTTTCAAGGGTTCATTTTTACATTTCTGGCGATACAAAACAATGCAAATAACATCATTATCTGTTTATCGCTTTACAAATATTGAACATTATTCACATAGTGTCGCTTCCTCCTCAGCCCAGCTTCTTAAACTCCTTAAAATCCGTTCTCGCATGATATTATTCGCATCAGGATGATGAGATATGGCGAAAGCGACGTTAGTTTCAGATGATTTAGCTGTTACAAAGTATATCTTGGGTCTTTCCATAATGATAGACGAGAAAAACTCGCCTACTCCTTAGATACGTTTCTTTTATTACAGAACAAGAGTTGGTACCATCCGAAGTTTTATGATAGGATTGTTAATTGAGCAATCAATTGCTTAAATATGTGAACAAGTGATGATCAGAGCGGTTTCCTTCAGCATTATTTTCAAACCAACTATCATCATTCCATCTGTTAATTTCATTACTTCGCTGCAATTACTTAACAACAAAAATGTAACTTTTGAGTAGACTAATTTGATTAATTTGTCTAGTCAATATAATAAAATCTCAAGAAAACTGTGGAGCGCGACCATTTTTTGCACTCAGATGATACAAAAAAATAATCCAAACGGTACAAGATGCTCAACAAAGATGAACCTTTTCGGATATTTGCTACCTAATAATGTATTTCATCAATACCCTTTCCATTCAATTACTTCACTACACAATCCAGCCCAATATGTTAAAAAAGCCGAACAGCATGCATTCATGTATGGCGCGATGAATCCAAAAAACGGTTTTTATAAATTTCACACAATAGAACATAACTTAATTTCAATGGGAAATACTGTGTTCTAGAGCAAGTTCTCGGATAGACCAAGAGAAACTCGATACGGTGAGCTCACATGTACTATTTTCTTTTGGGATCCCTTACTTCGAGTTCCAAAAATAGTGATTGAATCCCGAATATCTATGGAATGGGCACAGCTGGGGAAAACCGTTTATTTGATTCACCGCGCCATATAAACAGCTTAATGTATAAAAAAAGAGAAAGTGGTGCGTACCTTTCTTCCTCCACCTTTAACCTTTGCTGTTGCACCTGCAGTCGCATCTGAACTATCTGACTGTCAGATGGGGGGTCTTTACGGCTAACAGGACAAAAGGCGGTGTTATAAACATTAAACACGTACACAGGTTAGATTTCATTCACTATATATGACATGTTTTAGTTATATTCAAATTGTCATAGATTATAAATTTCTGCATTATTTTTTGTTGTTTGTACCCTTAAATCGTTGGCCAGAACTTGTGCGATGAATCAGTAAAATACGACAAGTTTCGAGAAAACGTTTTCCACACTTAATGGCATTTAGACGTAATGATGTTTTACGTAATGTGTTTAATCATACCCTTGATCAGCCCGCTTTTTTTTGATCAGTGATACCAATCCGACATTTTATAAGATTTGATTGATCATATAACGAATCTAAATAAAGTGTATTTATATATTTTTCATATTCAAAAATACGAAATTAAAAATTTTTATTTCCAATTTTCTATGAACTTGTCTTCTAAACGTCAAACTGGAAATTTTGCTCCAAAGCTGTAACGTAATGAGTTTTAGAGTGACGGAATAAGGTCTCCACGCCCACTCTTTATAATATGACTCTACTTTTGCCATAGATTTTTCTGTGAAACTTGTAGACAAGGTAGATCTTTCAAAAAATGTATTTCCGACATCCATCGTTTAGAACAAAATTTGATTTCACTACATTTAGATTAATAAGGTATCTTCAGTTGAACTGGTAGACATGTTCCTTTCCGGCTCTTTATGGCGGAAGTGTCAATTCACGTGGTCTATCATCATTGGCCTATCAAATGTGCTTTCTTAATGTTTCTTATTATTGGTTGAAATATTGGTTTTATTTCTACATTCGGTTTGCTTTAACCATGTCATTGTTGTTTTTGTAGGCGGTCTCCTTGAATTTTCTGCGGGACCAATGAGGTTCCTTGCCAACCACCTTAGCGTTGTCTCATATTATGTTGTGGTCTGCTATCAATGATTTCCCTGTTTCTGCTTGGTGGGTGTTGAGCTTGTGTTCTTTGATCCGAACCTTCAGTGGACTTTTTGTTTCGGCGATATATACTTTGCCATATTTACATGGTAGCTGGTATATGCATTCGTCTTTGTTTCTTTGTGTCTATCCATAGGTTTGGTATTTGACAAGATTCTGTAGAGCGAAGTGTTCCTGGATAATCTTGATTGTATTCCATAGGATGACAATAGTCGTCGCATTCTTCTAATTGAGAGTAATACGCCTGCAACGTTAGGAATTATAAGTAGACTCCAAGATACTTCATCTGTTCTTCAATCGGCGGTACCCTCTTGTATTACTTTCTCCATTAGCTTTCTAGTGTATGAGGTTTTTGTAGACGCAGGGTGTGGTGCTGGTATCGTTCTCTCATTGTCGGTCAGGCATACCTTATATTTCTCCATCGTTCGGGATCCGACCAGTTAAACTATCGACGAAGGGATCCGAACAGCTCAAAGGAAGACATAATCACTCGACCAGAACGGCGTTTCAGCTGACGGCAATATACCACGCGGAATGACCCGTCAACAGATGGAACTATAAAAAGTCAGAAAAGAACAATGCATGTCAGTTTAGCCGAAGATAATTGAAGTTAACTTATTAATCGAAACGTCGTGTTTCTCAAATTTTCTTATAGTATTGATTAACGTATTCTACCAGAAGTTAACCAACCTAAATTCCCACGTCCGAAAAAATATCCGTAGCGTGATCTATGAGAATTTGTCACAACTCTTTTTCTGTTTACTATATATATACAGGGTGACTTCGAAGTTGAGTCATTTATTTTAACAGTGAGTAGATCTGATCAAAAGAAATGTTTTTTTCCTTTATCATTTTTCTGGTAAAATTAAAGTAACAAAGTTATAGCCCTTTGGAAGTTTGAGTACCGCCCTGTCTCAATAATAATATTATGTGCTCGTGTTTGGCGACAACGGATATAATCCGCCTTATCGGTTCATCGCATCGGAAACAAAAAAACCAAAGAATTTGGAACGAGGTTTTTACAATTATTTCATTCAGTTGTACACAGTCAGTGAGTGAATATGGTGTCTGTAGCGTGGCTCAAACGAAAGAAAAAATGGCACATGTTTATGCGGATCGGTTTCCCAATCGAGTGCAACCAACCCCTCGTGCCTTTGTTAATGTAGTACAACGGGCTCGTGAATCAGGAGACTTAAGACCTCACATGGGGACTGCATGCCGGTGCTCCAAGACCTCACGATCAAATACAGGTCCGCACTGAAATACTTGTCTGGGGGATACTTTATAAAACAAGGTAAAATTTTTTTTTTAATTTTTTTTTATTTTTACACACATATTTTGGTTTATCTTTCTTCTACAATCATTATCTGAAAATTAATGACTCAACTTCAGAGTCACCCTGTATATATATATACAGTAATGGACAAAAGTATAAAAAAAAATTAATTGAAAAAACTGGAACTATGAAGGACAAAAATATATAGACAAAGCAAAACAATTATAGAAAAAAGAAGCAAAGTTCATTGAATTATAGAAAACCAACCATGTTTGTGTTAATATTTTGTAGCACAACCATTATTATAGATTGGTATAGATTGTAGAAGTTTCTTGATATAAGATTCATCAATCTGTCTCCACTTTTGCTCTAACGCGGCAAAAAGTTCATTTTTGTTTGAATAATTTTTATCTCGTATTTGCTTATTTAAGTATTCCCATAGATTTTCAATGCGGTTTATATCGGGAGAACTGGTATTTTTTCATCCAGAAAGAATTTCTTTGCGAGATTTGAAGTGTGCTTCGGGTCATTATCTTGCTGGAAGATTGATCTTAAGGGCATATTGTCTTCCATATAGGGTAACATGAAATGCTTTAGTATGTCTGTGTATACAAACTTATCCATAATGCCATCCCAGTATTTATTATTGACATGACACAATATGAGGCCCATCTATTCTATGTAAAGGTCCCATCCCAAACCCCGAAAAGCACCCCCAAACCATAATAGACCCGCCTCCATGTATGACAGTGGGCAAAGTGTACTTGGGGTTTAATATTTGTCCACTAGGACGTCTAACGTAATGAACACCATCTGATCCAAACATATTGAACTTGGATTCGTCACTGAAACATACCCTCTTCCAGTCACAGATGCTCCAGTCAAGATGCAACCGTACAAATTGTAATCGGTCCTTACGGTTTTTCCTCGAAATTAGCGGCTTCTTACTTGGGCGACGTGCAAATAACTTCAAATCATTTAATTTTCTACTTATAGTTTTTGTAGAAACACTGACAATTCCTTTTGTCTCGATTTCGGCTTTTATTTGTCTTGGGGTTTTAAACGGATCTTTGGACGAAATACTTTTATTAATCTAACTGATCTAGAATTTAGTTTTCTAGGCCGACCATTTCTATTAGATGCTTCCAACATACCTTTTTGTTTATATTTGTTCAATATTGCCCAAACTGCTTTACGCTTCAGCTTCAAATTTTTGGCAATGTCGACTTGATGTTGACCATCTTTGTATAACTCAATGATCTTAGTTTTCACATCGAAAGAAATTTCTGGACCATAAGGCATGGTCTTAAAATCACTCAACTTATTCCACAATACTTGATGAATACAAACTAATCCTCTTCTGACACGAAACTGTACTAAACTTATGTTGAAAAGAACTTGTCTACATATTTTTGTCCCTCATAAAAAAGTGCTCATATTCAGACTTGATTTGTGTTCATTGCAGATAATGTAAAAACAAGGAATTTAGTTTTTCTACTAATAACACATTTGTTTATTGAGCAATGAAGTGTGAATTCGTTTTCTAAAGGTATTTAGGTAAATATTCATATTTGTCTATATAGTTTTGACCATTACTATATATATATATACTTTAAGAAGGTTAGTGTCTCATAAATGGCGCTGTATCTACCGATATGCTCGTAAATGCGTTGGCTACAGCAGAATCTATGAGAAACTAACATTTTCAAAATATGTATAGTAAATACACAAACAGCTGTGACAAATTCTCATAGATGATGCTACGGTATCTCATTTTATATCCGATAATTTTTTTGACGCGGGAATATAGCTATAGGTTGGCTGTCTTCAGGTATAAATACAGATAACTTAAATGAGTCCTCATTCGTGCATTCATTCCCATACTATTTTCCCGACACTCGTGCATAAACTCCAACTTCACCATTCTTGAAAAATGAATACAGACAATATATTCCAGAATATCCCATCAGAAGGAAATACTTTAGAAGTACATTCCATTTTGAATATATCATTGCGTTTAAAAAATGTCATACGTTACAGATAATTTAGTACATATTAACCACATTAGTAATAGGTTTCGTTCGTCCGACCACAGACGGCAGACAGCTGATGTATTCTTGGTCTCAGATAAGACAATGAACGAAAGCTGAGCAACTGTATCCTCTATCCAGAATATAATGTCAACCGAAATAAGCCAGCACAAAGTGTAGTGTACCACAATATATTATTCCGAGAGTGAAAACAGCAAGCTGTCTGTTAGAACTGTATCCCACTTCGCATTTGACAGCCGGCTTACCACTATGGCCGCTAAATGGCGCCGATTCTGGTGGTATAGTAGATATGGTCTACTCGCCATGGATCAAACTAGTAATATAGCTTTCGGTCGTCCGATCACAGATGGCCAACTGCCTCGTGCTATTTGGCAACTCATCAGCATATCTAGGCTTAGTCTTAGGTAGGACCATGCTCGAAAGCTGACCAAGTATCCTCTATCCAGGATATAAGGTATATGTGATGAGGTAAGGGACCAAACTTTTTCTACGTGTTCGTCAGGTCAATTCGAGTGGAAAAAGTCCGAAGTCCGTTTTTTATTTTTAGGGTGCTAATGGTGGAAAACCAAAATATTGTCGGAAAATTATTTTTATTGAACACAAAATTACTAGGTACAATAAAAATAACTATTCACAATAATTGTTCAAAGTGTCCACCTTCACACTGTAAACATAGTCCAGCCGGTTTAATAATGTGACTGGTGGCTTTCCCAATAACAAGACGATTACTTCTTATGTCGTCAGCGACATCAGTAATTTTACGGAGCAGTTCAGGCCTGGTATGCGATTTCTGTGCATACACTAAAGACTTCATATGTCCCCACAAGTAATAATCCAAGGGATTTAGATCGGGCGAGCGGGGTGACCAAGAAACTGCACCATCTCGTCCAATCCAACGCCCAGGAAAAGTGTTATTTAAATACTTTTTGCAAAATTCAATCAAACTGACACAACTACTCCGTCAACAAACAAACAAACACCAGCGTATCAATCGGGCAGTACAACGTGAATGTGGACTTTAATGTCTGTAAACAGTTGTTTTCATACGAACAGTATAACATTTTTTGTTAAATAAAAGCAGTTTGAGGAACACGCAGAAAAATTTTGTTCCTTACCTCGCGGGACATTCTGTATAGATGGAACTTTGTGGCCGGACGAACGAAATTTATATTACTAGTTTGTTCAATGCAGAATGTACCTAGCTTGCAGTTTTCACTCTCGCAGTCGTCGATTTTGGTAATAGTTGGCACTTTGTGCTGTCTTATTTTGATTAACCATGTTTGGTAAATCATTTTTCATTACGAAAACTAATAGTAGTATCAAGGTACATATATACAATGTAACGATGCGAATCACATGTATCGAAACGACATTAACCAAATATCATGAGTGATACTGGAATGGAAATGATAGTAAGTAATGTATATTTATCCCATACATTAACAAACGTTTATTCGTTATTCGTGGCTTCCAGGATAGCTTAACTTTCAATTATTAAAACCCAAGTATTTTTAGAATAGAAAAAGACGTGACATACAGTTTCACATGCAACACGTGTTAGTGACATGAACAACATTGAAACAGTGCACAGAATTACAATATTAAGTGAGTGGTGTAGGTCTGTACCATTAACCAGGTGTGCTGATATTTATTTTATAAGAAAATAAACTTACCTGAGGTGATTCTGAAGCTCATTGTAATTAACATAATGTGTGAAGGGTACTGCGTCTATAATGCCCGACCTGCTGCCTGGTCGGCCATATTCTGTAGTATAGGGGTTTGGTGCATCGGATCGCTGTAAAATTATTAATTAATTATAATAATAGTATACTGAAAATCAGACTGGGCATTTTTTCTCACTACCAACTATAAACTACCACAATTAATTTGATTAGACTTTAAAATGTAGCATATTCAAACATTTCCGTTATGTCCGACAACAGTGTCAGAATAAGTAAACCAACGTCAGTATCTTGAAAAAATGGACTTTCTCCAAAAGTTTATTCAGATTGTATGGAATTGATATTAAATTGAAAAAATATAGTGAGTCTGTCACTACACACAACTTTTTTTATTTTTGTGGACCTGTGTAATATTTGTGAAATGTCCACCTCCTGATTTTGAATTGCTCGCAAAACATCTGGCTACAAATTGGAAAATTCTTCTTTAATGTTGGTTTTTAAGGCTTGCAAGGTGCGTTGTTTATTGCGGCTGACCAAAGACTTTAAGAAGGCCCAGAGATTGAAATCTGGCGATATCAGATCTGGTGATCAGCAGAAATGATTCAAAATACCGTAAAGTGAGCACACATCAACTAAGGTGGTGGACACTTGACTTTTTCAACTTGATGACATAATTTTATACATTTGAATAAACCGTTCCTGAAAGGAGCCCAGCACGTACGTTTATTTTATATACACCATTTTACCAAATCAGGAAGTTGTTATAGTTATATACCTGTGGATGTCGTTGGTCGTACAGATCTCTGTCTTCATTTTGATAGTACCTGCTGTGTGATCTCTGCTTATGTGTTTCCCTTTCATTTCTCCTCAATTCTCCTGAATTCTGTCTGTATTTAACATTTGGATTCGGAGCTATCGTATTTTCAGGAATCGCCTAGAAAAAATAAATTGCTAACATGTAGTCATGTTACAAACATAATGTTTAACACATTTCTGCTGAAGTTTATCAATATGGCAGCCTAGGCTCACTAGACAAGCGAATTTAAGCCAATCGTTAGGAAGCTATAGTGAAATTATATGATAATGTTCCGGTTATCTTTTTATTTTTAAGTATTGTCTATAATCATTCAAGTAGCGTGAATTATGAGGGCATGCTCACACGATAATTTTGTAAAGAAGTCAAAACCCGTTAACGCGGTGGGAGGTCTTTAATTATATTGACGTCATTATTCTTTGTTGTTGTTATATTTCCCAACCGTTCTAAATCCCATTTATTACATATTTCAGACGTTTAACCTTAGTTCCCTCAAGCATTGATCTAACAATTAAAAATTCAGACTAAATAGAAAGAGCAATTTTATGATTTGTTTATTTCCAAAATCTCATAGTCTGTAGTCAGGATGAAAGATGATACTACAAGCCGATCAGACTTGAGCCGCCTCTTTGACAGTTATTGACATTTCACATCAAATTCGTATTTTTCTGCTAAAACACACAAAAGTGCGTTGGTTCGTTATAGTCCTAGTGTTCCAAACATTTGCCGACAATGGTGAATCTCGCTGTGGAATGCAAAAAGCCGTTTAAACTGAATAATCGATCGATAAGTGTTAATATACTAAGTGACATATAAATCCGAACACCCAGTTTAAATGGTTTTATTCGAATAAAAGTTGGTGAATGTATTTATCTTACTGTAAATAACAAGTGAAAAAATTTTCAGCCTTATCAGTTGGACATTCCGGTTTTTATACTGCTTTTTTTTAATTCACTAACGCTCTAAAAATGAATATTTCAGCCGCAGTAAAGAATCAACGTTCGCGGATTTTGGTTCTTGACATCCTTTACGATCGGTTACGATGCCTAGAGTACGGAGACCTGTACGATTTCGTCAACTTAGTGAGTTTGATAGGGGCCGTATAGTGGGACTTCGGGAAGCTGGACTTTCTTTTCGGGCAATTGCAGTTAGAGTGCAAAGAAGTGTAGACACTGTGGTTAGGTGTTGTCAGGCATGGCTTCGAGAAGGCCGTACGCAAAGAGCAAGGGGTACTGGACGGCGCCGTAGAACAACAGACCGTGAAGATCGCCGCCTAAGATTATTGGCCTTAAGGTACCGTTTCTCCACTGACAGGTCCATTGCAAATGAATGGTTTGCAGAACACGGAAGACCTATTGGCATGCGAAGTGTTTACCGACGAATGAGAAGTTTTGGCTTGTTTTCATACCGGCCACACTGAGTCCTCCCTTTAACTCGAGAACACCGACGTAATCGCCTTGAGTGGTGCAGACAACGGTCACTCTGGGATCAGGAATGGAACAGTATTGTCTTTAGTGACGAGTCTCGATTTTGTTTAGGCATGCACGATGGTCGTGCCAGGGTTAGAAGGCGACGTTGTGAAAGGAGGAATCCACAGTTTTTTGTTGAAAGACATGTTCATCACACTGTTGGAGTTATGGTTTGGGGTGCTGTAGCTTATGGTTCCAGGTCACCTTTAATCTTCATCAGAGGTAACATGAACGCGCAGCGTTATATCCACGAAGTTCTAGAACCCCATCTTTTACCCTATCTTGACACCCTGGCAGATCCAACTTTCCAACAAGATAATGCCCGACCACATGTTGCAAGAGTCACAATAGACTTCTTTCAACATAATGATGTCACATTGTTACCATGGCCACCAAGATCTCCAGACTTATCCCCAATTGAGCACGTGTGGGATATGATGGGTAGGAGATTGCTCAATTTGCAACGTCCTCCTCAGACTCTAGAAGCACTTCGAGAGGAGTTGGTGGTTGCCTGGAATGAGATACCACAGGAGGACATTGACCACCTGATCAGAAGCATGCCTAGGCGCGTTGGAGAATGCGTAGCACATCAGGGTTCATCCACACATTATTAAAGGTCAAAGGGCTTTAAAGCAGTGCAATCATTTTGAAATTTTTATCATTTACTTATTATGCTTCATTAAGTACTTATACAAAATTTTATTAAAATAAAACCATTTTAACTGGGTGTTCGGATTTATATGTTACTTAGTATGTTATTATCAACGGCGCACAGTGGGGTATAATACCTCAAAAGTTGGTATTAATTAAAAAAATCAAGTGCTGCAGTCATGTTCGCTCTGTTGACAGTTATATTACTGACATTCCAGCGCATACTGCAACGAAATATTGTGGATGTGGTGAATCATTTTCAGATTTCAAATGTTTCAGATGGACATGTCAGCTGCAAGTATGTAGTGTATTTTCATAATCAGCACTTATTCAAATTGAGTATTCACAATGAATTATAACGCTTAGAAGTCATCATTGTAATCTTTCAGAAGAATATTGCTTTTCTCAGAAACATGCAGAGGTTTATGGAGACAAATCGAGTAATTTTGTTTGTATGACTACATAGTTCTGTTATTGGATAATAACAGGACGTCATCTGAGATTTTTTGCGATTTCGGACAGAAATACTTGATACTCACCTAATAACATTTACTTTACTTTTATCAACTTTAGTAACTTATGATTTCTCTTGGTTCTAGGAGCTGGTCGTACCAAATACTTAAAAACATCCCAAAGGAGGCTTTGGAACTCTTAGAGATTCCGATGGTTGCTGAGTATCAAAGAAAAAAGAAGACGATGATGGCGATGAAAACGAAGAATCATTATTGGCATATTCTGTTAATGATTTATGCTGATATGTTTTGTTTCACAAAACAAATAAATTATTATTAGACTTTTTATGTTTTATGTCTTTACTTTCACGTTATAAATAGTCAACTCACGTTCTCTTTTTATTGCCACGACATTCTAGCGAGGAAGCTCAGTAGGCCCCAAGATAACTATGAATATCAGATTAATTAAATTACTTCAAAATCTTTATATTGTATAAATATAATTACAATGATAAAATAGCAGTAATCTCCGTATTAAGCACAACTAGGTATCTAGAATCACAATTATTTAGAAAAACCTAGTAGAATTTAAGTAATATGTCCCACTATTTCCAATATTAGATATATTGCCATTGCTCCTGTTTGATAACGACCATTTATCGTACTTTTAACCTTCCAAAATCACGAATTAAGTAGAATTGTTCATGTGCTATACCGTTAATAAATATTTGGTTTCGTTTTTTTGCCCTATTTAATGTATCCCTGTTTATTTACAATAACTGAGCGATTTACATCGTAGATAGAATTTCTGTCCTACTAAACGTGAGTATATCCAGAACATTGGTTACTTGATTACTTTTCCAGAGTAAAATGTACGCTGATTTATTGGCCTGTCACTTTGGTAGGTAATAGTAGACAAATGGGCCAAAAGTGAGCACTAAAACTACACAATTTTGGCAACAAACAACGAAATGCAAACATATGGGCCGGGCTCCTAACCTATCCGTTCATCGTCCCAGATTTCATTCTTCCTCTTTAAGTTTTTGAATTTTTCGGTGGTTTAAGGCATTTTCAGTGGGGAGAAAGTCGATTGAAGATGAACCACTAAGCGGAAGGTCTTAATATTCAAGAACGGATGAAAATATCGACAGAATCCGGTATCTTGTGCCTTCAGATCATCAGATGACAGTCAGAATAATCGGGGAATTAAATTTGACTCACACCACCGTTCATCCGATCAAGAAGAATTGGGTATTGCTTTACGATAATGTTCCTTGTCACATAGCAATGTCAATTAACGCGTTTTTTTCCAGAAAAAATATTCATGTGGCTCATCAGCCTCCTTATTAGTCCGACTTGAGTCCTTGTGACTTTTTTGTCTTCCCGAAATTGAAGTATCACCTCAAGGGAACAGTCGAAAACATTCAAGCGGCTGTAACGGACCAGCTGAAGATTATAATAATAACAATAACAAATGTCTTTATTAGCAACACAACAATAGGGCGAAGTTTAGCCAGTTGGCTACTCTTACACCCAACCCTATTGTGTGCTTATCGGAGTATCGGAGTTCTAGCACTGCTATGAAGAGTGGGAAAAACCATCTTCAGCGCTGTCTGGCTTCAGAAGGAAGTTATTTTGAGGGTAACAATATAAAATTGTAATTATATTTCAATAAAAGAATTAAAAAAATCAGTCACGAGTATTGAAAATGTCTTATCGCCAAATGTACGGAGAAATCTATGTGCCAAATAGGTCTAATAGGTGCGTAGAATTACCGGATCATATAAATATACTAACACCACCCCCTGCATTCCGCCTGTACTTGCAACCACCCAACACCCAAACTGTGGCCCCTCAAAATAATTCCAAAAATTAGCAGGAGCAAATACCCGTAAAACGTCGAAAGAGAGTTTAATCAATTGTTTTGCATGTTTGCATGTAGCTCTGCTGCCACTCGATGGATTTGCAACGCATACACATACAGACCGACGGAAATTAGTGACATGCTTCTTCAAGTTGCACATGTCATATAACATCCAAAAAACATACTCTCTGAAATCGGTGTTTTTTGCGATCGTAATACCTCCTCGCCATTTGGCGTGAGAAGTAACAAATTGCTGCACTTACTGCTGAACACCATATTCTCTTATAATGAGGTCTAATCTAAATTAGCACATAATGACCCAAGTAAACATACCTGTTCCGTCTTTCTATGGACATACCCATGTCTCTGGTAAATAGGCTCCCTGCGAACTTGCAACTCCCTCTGTTGTGGACTGAGTCTCAGCTGCTGAGCGTTGACGTTGTTAACTGGATGTACTTGGTGGGGTTGCTGAGGATGCAACTGTTGCAGATGCAAGCTTTGGTGTTGGTGATGTACTGTAGCAGCTTGGTGTTGTTGCATCTGATGTTGGTGAAGCTGCGAACTCTGTGGTGAGTGGTGATGTGAACTGCTCTGTTGTTGTTGTTGTTGGTGGTGATGCAGGTTGGACGGCTGGGAGCCTTGTTGTTGGTGATGTGGGGTAAGCGGCGAGTTGGGCTGCTGATATGCAAAAGTATATCGGGAATAACAAACAATTGCAATCTCATTAGGTTATCAGAAATCAATTCTATGTAGCGCGGTTTTATCTTGTCAGTATGATCCAGGATTCAATCAGACAAACGAACTCACGGCTCCCAGCCTACTCGCTTTTTCAAAAAAGTTTAAGGTTGAGGACACATCACAGGTAATAGGTTAAGAGGCAAGAGGTATACTACTTGTGGATGCTAAGATGGTATGTCACAGGAATAAACGCATAGATTACCTATGCAACCGTACATACCGCGATGTAGGGGCACGCTAGGTGCTTTTACTCGACACTTTCAAGAAAAGATAAGTTGAATAAGACAAATGTATCGTTATGAGAGGTAATTGGATGTACTATTGTTTGTGTAGAGTAGCTGCTTTCAAAGAGATCTACTGTGGAAAGACTGAAATCTCCATGACATTTATGACATTAATGTTAGAGATCCAACATATATGTAAAAAAGATGCACTGCAAACATTTCAGCTAAGAATTCCTTAAACAATGATGAGTCATCGGTTGCCTCCAAGGGGGAAGATTGTATTACAGTGGATAAGATGTTGCGTATTTATGAGGAGAAAACAGTCCAGATGTCATGATGACAGTGAGACATCGCATCAGTCAAGTTAAATCAGTTGAACTTTGAAATTTTCAAAGGTAACATTACCAGAAGAGTCATTTTTTATGATAACTTGACCGCCTAGAATCCTATAACCTCTTGATATATGTGCATCCCACCTCAGTACCTAACATGTTATACTGTTACTAACCTCAGAACCTGTGGGGTTGCCTCACCTTAACATCAGCACTTCTTTCCTTCAACTTTTTTATCTTTTTGCGTTTTTCCTGATTTTGTTGTTTAAGCGCATTTTTTATTCTTTTGGGTCGTTGTTTATTGTTATTTTTTGAGGAGGATGGTTGCCCATCTTTTCCAAATTACCTGAAAATGTTAATATACAATGGCAATTCACTGAGTTAATGAAAATAAAAAATTGGGGCTTTACCTATGGATAATCTAGTAAATATTCGTTGTAAGCTGAGTGTTAGGAAGTAGATACTCGTACTTCAAGTAAAAACTCAATTATGAAGTAACAAAAAGTCTCAATGATAACGCAGTAATTATTTTAGTAAGTACTCGTCCTACTCGCAAGGTTAGTCAGACCCAGACTTGTGACGTTTACTTTCCAACTGGACTAGTTGTAGGTCAAAATTAGCAACGAAAAGTTGTAGTATCACTGACGTTTCACAATGCAGACCTTCAAGACAAGCAAAGTATTGTCATCTTAAATATTTTCTAAATTGAAAGTTCTGCATGTGTTTTTGTAGGTGGTTGACTTAGCAAAGACACATGGAAGCTAAATTGTGTTTTATAGTATTTTTCAGTTGCAGACAATTTTTAGCCACTTCTGAACACATTTTGAAGGAATCAATGGAACGAATATTTTTTTAAGCTTTTGAAATTTACGATCATTGTAAGGTGTAGGCGAAAAGTAGTTTTGGGGTTGGAAAACATTGGATGTTTTTGGCCATATTCGTCATTTTCGTGAAAAGAAGTTCTTGAAAATCCAATATTATTTTTTTTGTTAATGTCCATAAGTTCATTTCGGTGTTATCGAATAAGTATTTTTTTACCGAGGACCTTTTAAGCACACGTGTTGGTTATTTTTGTATATTAGTGAAAAAACGCAAGTATTTTTGTACCGCCGTTCACTTCAATTCCAAGAAACCTGCCATTAAAACAGTTTTACTTTTTCATTTGACCGGCCCAATGTTTATACCCGTCGATAGAATATAGAGAGTTTGGCAATCCCCCATGTTTGTCTGGCAGGATCAAATCACAAATACAGGATGATTCACAAGTTGTGACCAAAAATGAAACATCATACACGGGATTTTACGGGGGTCTTCTATGTAACACTTTTTCCTCGAGGGCTTAATTAAAAAGTTTAAAAATAAATTTCAATATCTTCAAAACCGTCAACTGGAATGAACTAAAATTTGGTATGTAGATTTAAGTAATTATTGTCCACATTCAAAAGCCTTTACTAAAAATTAACATGCACCAGTGGCGGAGATACAAGGGGTTAGTAGCATTATTTATTTAAATAAAAATAGTACGCGTATTTTTAATAAATAAAAACGTATTGCAGCAAAATTTGTTGTGGCTTGAATTTGATATATTGATTGATTGATTGATTGATTGATATTCTTTCTTGTAACTGATCAACAGTATTAATTTGTTCAGCATACACTAGTTGTTTAAAAGAACCCCACTAAAAGAAATCCAGGGGGTGCTAATCAGGAGACCTCGCAGGCCAATGTACGGGTCCGTTTCTGCCAATTCATAGTTGTCTAAAATGATTATTTAACCATGCGGTAACGATGAACATGCGGTATAGCAGCGGGGTGCTGATACCACATTCGTACTCTCGTTGCTAACGGAACATCATCTAACACATTTTCTATGTAATTCTCTAGAAAATAAGAGTATGAGTTTGCATTTAAACGTTGTGGCAATACGTGCATAAACAGTTGGCTATTGAAAATGTTGCACCAGACATTTCTATAAAATCTGTGTTGAAAAGGGGGTTTTCTAACGACCAAACATGTTCATTGTGAGAATTAAAGGTTCCACTCCTCGCAAAAAGCTATTCATCTGACCACAAAACCAAATCAATAAAATCTGCATTTGCAGTAACCATACACAAAACTTTCACCGTTGCACTTCGTAGCTGGGTTGCAGACATTGCACATTTTGCCGATGGTAAGGATGTAAAACTTCCCGATTCAAAATTCTCCAGACAAGACTTTGGGAACATGGTAACTGAGCTGCAATCTGCCTAGTACTTGTACTAAAATCATCCAACGCCAAATTAATCACTTCCAGTTCCTATTGAACAGTATGCCGGACGCCATGGCCTCTAGATCCGGGAAGTTTGGCAATTCCATATTGAGCGCGTAAAAACCTTAGGAGTAGGGTAGGAAATCCACGAAGATACTTTAGAGAAGCCGCTTAAAACACGTACACGACGACAATGCGTGGAGTAAAATACGACTATAGCCGATAGTTGTTCTTTTTGTTTTTTTAGTGCAAATGTACATTTTCTGTAATATAATTGCTAGAAAATGTGTAAGTGAGTATTATTTTGACTTAACTTTTACAACAAAAAATCGTACTAGTAACGATAACAACCGTATAACATAACTTTGACAAACTATCTCCCAAAAAACGTCAAGTTGGTATCAAGGCCCCCTATTTTATTTTGAAACCATTCGACTCTTCATTAATTATCTAATTTGTTTTATATTTATTTTTACGAAAATAGTGAACTCTAGGAAAAAGCAAGAGTAACTATTTGTAGCAAATTAAAGGTAAAATTCGAAAAATTGCGCGTTCTCAAAAAAAAAGAAACAGTGGCGTACTATTTTTACTTGTAAAAATAATGCCACTAATCCCGTGTACCTCCGCCCACTGGTGCACGTTAACTTTAAGAAAACACTTTTGTACAATACTTAGGTAAATGCACATACCAAATTTTAGTTCTTTCCAGTTGACGGTTTTGATTATATTAAAAAAATTGTTTTTAATTTTTAAACTTTATTTAATGAAGCCCTCGAGGAAAAAATGTTACATAGAATACCTCCCTTAAAATGCGCTCCTGTGTATGATGTTTCATTTTTGGTCACGACTAACTTGTAAATTCCTTTCCGACGTTTGATCCCAACGATGACGTTATCCAAGTGCAGCTGGCACTTCTGACAAGATATTTTATCTGAACATGAAAGAAACAACAAACGAAGTGTCACCTGGAAAACACGTAAAATAATTATATTGTCAGGAGTGTCGATTGTACTTGAGAAACGTCACTATTATTACCGAACGCTCGTACAATAAAGGCGAACTTTAAACGTGATAATAATAATATTTATTCCGAGAGGTCTGCACCCAATCACAAGTATAACAATAAATAATAGAGATGAACATGGTGGATTACCAGCATGATAACCACAGGACAAGTTTCAGATGTTACGAGTACATAAGAGTTCTGGCAGTCAAATACTGCATCTCATTTGACACTTGAGTCGTGTGACAAATGTCAAATAAGGTTAAGTTCAAAGTTTAGGTATAGTATGCGGTCTTTGTGATTACCAAACTGTCTACTTTAAAAAATTGCTTGATGACATTTTGCTAGGTACCTTTTTTGTGACGTATTTAACAATGCACATTTGTGTTAAACATTTAATAAGATTGATGTTACATTTTATAAAATCGAACAAAATCTCACCCCATGTTGCTGGTGATGTGTAGTTGCTTGTTTTTGCTGTTGTTCACTGGTCCTATCAGGCTGAGTCAACTGACTTTGATTGTCGCTGTCCGCTTTAGATGGCGGCTGAATGTTGGCATTCGAATCGAACTCATTGATGTGATGATAGAGCTGCGGTTGCTCCTGGAACTCCATCTTCCGATGTTTACCGAACCTGAACATGGACCCGATGCCTTTAAAGATGCCTGGTTTCTTCTTTCCTGATTTATTTTTGTTGTCTAGAGCTGCGTTTAAAGAAGACTGTCTTGGAGCTCCTCTCATGTTATTGAATCCATCCACTTCGCGTTCATTGTCCATAGGACCGTCTAATAACCAATGCTTTTTAGCACCTAAAAAGAGTTCCAAAATAAAAAATAATCCATGATAGTGGGTTTTATCAAATATAATATACACGTTTCACAAATAAGACAAGAGGAGAAAATGGAACCCTTCTTGATCATGTTCAAAAATCTTCATAGAGCATCAACAGAAACAAAGCATTATGTAAGACATGTTTTAGCAGGTTGGGTTTACTTTCAGTTCATTTGGATGGCAATCAGCATCTGAACTAAAGCAAACTCTAGGTAGCGCTAAGATTCAGCCGCTTTGCGTCAGAGAATGCAGCAATGTTATCTTACCCATCTCATTTCGATGATTAGGATCAACAACAGCAGCCCTGAAGCTTTCTTCACATCCTCTACCCCTGATAACTTTTAAAGCTCCTGATGGACCTCTATAACTGTATGCTGGATCACCCTCTTCTTTCATCTGGATCTGGAAAATAATCATATTTAGCAATATTCCAGATAAGGTTTGTAGTTTTGGTTTACCTCTTGCACCATGGTCTGCAAAGACTCCAAACTGGAAGACTTCTTCATGCCCAAGCTGGGACCCAGCTGACCAAGCTTATCTGCTTCTGAAATGATAAAAATTTTTTTGGTGACGCGTCGCGAAGGATCAAATAATGTAAATGATGATCGAGTTATAAATATCAACATACTGAGACAATCTATAGGCAACTCGTTCACGAAAATTTGAAATTACGCTTTTAGATAATAGTGAGTTATCGATACACATTGTAACTTCATCACGTCATTTTGGTATTTAACTGTCAAAACCGCGTGGATACTATGTACGGTTTGTAACGTATAACGTAGCTACGCTGTCATTGTCGACAACTAACAAAGTGATCATTAGCGAGCAAGATGACGATATATTAACATGAAATATATTTTTTATGATTTAAGAGATATTGAGAAAAATATACAAATACAGTCTTCAGAAATTAAAGCGAATTTTTTCCATTGTTTCGTATCCAAATACGATTACCCTTTCATCTTTTGTGCTAAGACATTGGAAAGGACAATTGACAGATTTTTGAGAGATGGCTCGCTGGAGAGGTATGTCATTCATTCCAATGAGTTTGCATACCAAGCTGGCAAATCGACTGATCCGGCCTTACACAATCTGGTCGGCAGGCTGGAGAAGACTCTAGATCAGCGAGAAGTGGCACTCGTGGCCATTTTGGATATTGAAGGTGCATTTAATTGCACTACAACTGAATCTAGCAGACATTCCTTGGTTAGGCACGCGGTTGGATCAATCCGAGTAGATTGGATCCTATCCACTCTGGACGGTCGGGCAGCAACAGCTATGCTGCAACGAGGTAAGCTGCAGCGCTAGCGTAGCCGGAGGCTGCCCGCAGGGCGGAGTTCTGTCACCTACTGTGGTGCCTCGTGGTGAATGAACTCCTCGTTAGGCTCACCAGTGCGTGTGTTTACGTGCAAGCCTATGCGGATGACTTAAACATAGTAGTTAAGAGATCGTTTTTGTAGAACAGTCTCTGAGATTATGCATGGCGCTCTGCGTGCTGTGGAATCATGGTGTAGGGAAGTAGATCTGTCAACGGAGAAGTGAGAGTAGTCGCACACCGACTGTGGAGTCAGGCCAGCTAGGCCTTCTACAATCCTGTCAACGGTAATACTGAAATCCTAGTCGAACTGCAAAGTGAGGATCCCGTCCTTCTGAGCAGGAGTGATCTAATTACCTCTAAATGTCACTTCAACCGCAAGTTTGATGGTCATCGAAGAGGGCACTGGCGTCAGGGTCTCGGGGCCTAGAACTGAGCTATCTCTGCTTCTTGGTGGATGCAGCACTATTTTCCAGGTGGAAATCGTTGCAATTCTGGCTTGTGTATCCCTCATTTTGGAAGGGGGTGGGCCTAGGAGAAGAATAACAATCTTCTCCGACATCCAGGCTGCAATGAAGGCACTAAGTGCATGTAAGATTACTTCGTATTGCAATGCAGCGAGGCTCTGGATTGTCTAGCAGCGAGGCATCCGGTATCGTTAGTGTGGTTACCGGGGCACGCTGGGATAAAGGGCAATGAGGTGGCGGACGCATTGGCGAAGACAGGATCAGCCAGCAAGCTCGTTGGTTCTGAGCCAGCTTTAGGGGTGCCCGCGCTACGAGTTAGGAGGAAAATGGAGAAGTGCTAGGATGAACGTTTCTGCTTATCTTTGGATAGAGCCAACCTAAGTTGTCTGGCCATAACACCTTAAGGCGCCATCTGCACGGGGGTGGCTGAGGATCCCTTGTGTGAGCGCTGCGAGGTAGAGGAAGACACGTCGGCGCACGTTCTGTGTCGCTGTGAGGGTCTTAGCTACTACAGGCGGACTTTACTGGGGTCCATCATTTTGGACCCCCAGGACGTTGAGGAGCTTGGACTCAAGGCCATACTCAAGTTCGCTAGAATGGCGAGGCTTGAGGTCTGAGGAATGTAGAGGTGCACAAGGGCTCGTCTGAGTGGCCTATGCTGGCTACATATGGTGGCTGGTATGCCTCTAATTTCATGTTTCATTCATTCATCTAAATATTGGAGTATGGAATGTTAAATAAGAGCCTCCTGGAATATAACAATATCATACTCTTGTAATAAAGCAGAAGTGCAGTACCAGATTACAATAACACAGGGCATGCAAAAATCTTCGAACACTAAAGGTGGATAAAATTTAAGAGAAAATAAAAATTAAATAAAATAAAACAAGAGACGTGACACGACTAATCAGGGAACGGAAATTTGATCTTGTTTAACGTTAAGAATTGTCTGACTATAGTCTATATTCTTTAGTGTTCGAAGGTGAAATCTCAAAATGATGCTTACGTTCGGGATGTTCTGATGATCGGTTTACACTAATGACAGATTCCACTGAACCAACTCGTACTAAATTAGCTGTAAAATGAGATGAAACACAAACATATTAGCACAGATAAAAGCTACAAATATTTAGTAACATAACACACTTAAAAATACCATATTAGCTTTATTATATACAATAAATTAGCACAGGTGTAAACTGGGATGGTGATAGATTCAAATGATCAGGAGCATTGAATACTAGAAATGTATGAAGAGAACAAAACGAACTTTTAAAATATTTGTCAACAGTGAAATGAAGAAAATAGACGAAATAATACGTATCTCATTAACATAAACTTTGTCTAGCGAGACTCGTCAATACAATACTGTTTTTGAATAAAACTATTACACATTTTTCGATCCACCGACAAAAAAGCATATTTTTCACAACAAGCGATAAATTATGTTTTACTGTACGAAAATTAATGATTTCGAAATTATTTTCAATTTAATCATAAAATTATAACCACGAATCAATGGGAGTATTCAGGAAATAAAGACGCTGTAGGGCTTCAATAGTGATATGAACACGAACATTAGGCGCGCTGTATTGCCGTGATGTCCTGAATCCTGAATGCCTACAATATAAAAAAATGTGGATACAAATGATTGTGATGAGCCTTACAGGGTGGTCCGTAATGAAAAGCAATCCCGGTAAATTGTAGCTCGTTAATAACATACAGGTTCCTGAAGTTTCATTTTCAAAATCGTTAATGACATGTCTATAACTAAAGCTGTTTTTATATCAACAAGAAATTTGGTAATCTGTGGTTTCTGAAGATGAGAAATACCATTATATCGTATTTTTCGGCATAATACGTAGAGGGTGCTAGTTACAGCATACAACATCGCTATTCTATAACTTTTTTGCTAATACATTATTTTTTATAAAAAGTACTATAGATTGATGATGTTTAAGTACATTTATTTCAATTAAAAAACCCTTTATGAGATATTTGCATTTCAACATTCTATTGCTAGATGAAGAAGAACAACTTTTTTAATAGTGGAATATGTTGTGGACAAGAAGCAAAAAGTAGTAGTGGATATTTCAAAATGGCATGAGGTATATTGGCTTGTAAAATATGCATAGAACTCTATTATTAGCAGATTGTTCATACACAGCAATTTGGCTGTGAATGTTTAAATGCAAATAGGTCAAAAAGGGTTTGTTTAATCGAAAATAAGAAGAAGAGTCCTTTTTTGTTTAAAAATCATCACACTAATATCATTTTTAATAAAAAGAATGGAACGGTACTAGCAAAATAGCGAGATTTTAGACTATACACGTATTATGTTAACATATATAACATAGTCGTAATACCTAGGAAACCGCTGGTTATTAATGTTTATGTTCATACTACAAAACGAGATGGAGTTTCTTTTTTAATTAAACCTACTTCAACGCCCTGTGATATAGTATCTCATTAACAAGCGACATGTTACTATGGCATATTTGATCAATGTCATTTAATCTAGGAGTTTTTTATGGACCACCCTATATAAAGATTTTTGCACCTTGTAATCACAAAAACTAAAACCAAATATTTCCACAAACACTCTGAAAATTAGCAAGAATTGGAGACATTGTACATGTTACCGTGAACTCAAATGAGTTACTTTTCTTTTTACGATATCTATAGTTAATTCAAACTTTTGCAATGAAGACCACACAGATTGGTTATAACCCACATCATTTTAATCAATAAATACATATACCATTTAGCCCTTCTCGAAATCATGCCCGAACTTACTTTCTTTGAACTTCCTCTCCTCCCGTATCTTCTTTGATCTTTGGTAAGTATCCGTACTCTTTGCATCCAGGGTAGCGTGGCGCTTTTCGGACATGCTCTGCCTGCCGAATGCGTCCCTGGTGAATCCCTGTGGGTTCTCCAGAGACAACTGACTGGCGTAGGTGGCATCGTTCTGGATGGTAGTCTGCGAAGAGGTGTCCGTGCTTTTGTCGGCGCTATTCGAGTTAGAACCCGACAGGCTGGCTTTGCCGTCTGGTTCGTGCTCGTTGCGGTTGTCGGCAGGAGGACGATTCGGAAGTGCCTGGGAGGATGTGGGTTTGTTCGTGATGTGGACGTTTATGCTGAAACAAATAACTATAGAGTCAGAACTGTACCAAATCGGAATAAACTAGTCAACTATTTTTGCGAAGCATTGGGAAAAATAGAAAAACACTTTGATACTGATGTTGCCGCGGAAGATATTCTAATGGCGCTTCTAAACGGGCAATAAGTTTACTGCATTATCGAGTTGCAATAGAGTAGTCAGCAGCACACGGAAATATTTTCAGTATGGCCCAGCTATATTGCTACACATGTAATGGAAGTAATCTTAGCAGCCAACAATTTCGTCAGTTATTCTTGACTAATTTTGTGGCCATTTTGATTAAAAATCTGAAAAGTGTATGTGTCTACACATAGCATACAGTAGTGCCGAGATCTATAGCCAGGGCATATGGTCCAATGGGGTGATGATAGCTGCGATAGTTATAGCCAAATATTGCTATAAAATATTTATCGTTTACTTATAATACTTACCATCATTATATTCTTAGAGAAAAACAGTAATTTAGAAGAGCATCAATGTCCCTAAATTTATTTTATTAGCTGTACTCTGTCGAACGAATAACTAGATAGAAATGAGCTATAATACAGAGGTCCGATGGAACGCCTCTTTTAGCTAGACTAGTTAATCAATAAAGGTTTGGCTGGACTGGGATAGTCACACACCTTGTCATAGTAACCATTTATGGATTGGTTAATCCTGCTAAAAATTACATACCTTCATTTCAAATTGGTAGCTTCATATTTACAGAATACGAGCTTCTCATTGCTGTCACTTTGGTAAGTTTTTTTGATTTGATTGAGAAACTATAAGAACTTGATTTCACATTCCTTAATATACGAAAGAAGATTTCCATCTGAAGATTTTACCCTATAAAACTGTCTCAAGTCGACATATACGTTACTGGTTCCAAATCTCACAATATCAATTCATCTTTGGGAATGCATGTTTTCAAATGTTCTGGAAATACTTTATGAAGTCACACATGAAAGATGGATATCCACTTGTTTGTGAATTGTCGAACATTTGTATGATAATAAAAACAAGAGGATATGGATAAACGGAAAATCTAATAACAAAGACATTATATGTAATTTTTTGGAATATCGCAAGTCTCCTACATTGCAGACTGTTCTCAAAAGCGTTCATCGTTTTCCTATCATCACACTGCGGGTACATGATTCTAAGCATCATACCAATTTTATCAATCGTATTCGGGTAACTAGAATTCCATTTCTCCTCCGAAACTATAAAAAAACTTATTGATGGTATGATGTACTTATTATGCTAATTTATTGAAACATAATACTTACTGTTGATTTGGTGGATTGATGACCCTAGATCCATACTCATCTTCTATCAGAATGGGTTCATTATTTGGTATATTCACAATGGTGCTAGTCGTGTTGCCGAAAGAGCTACTACCTAACATACTACTAGTCCAGGTATCATGAGTAGCCTGAGAAAAAAAGATACATAAATTACAAGTTTTCCAAAATTATGTGCTGGTAGCGTTTCTTTTGAGTGGTTTGTTCACCATCTTAGGAAGCCACAGCGCTTTCACAATGATGCATGTGAATTTATTACGCTGATTCCACAAAACCAACTATAAAACTTCAAAATTGCAAATATGGATGATGACTCAATAGGTACTTCAGGACTTAAATTTAGCACCATTTTCCAAAAACCTTTATATTACGAATATGTCAAATAGGAACTGCATTTAATTATGAATCATTTTATGACGGAGAATGGTGCAAACGTTCTGAGGAAATTATTTGGTGAAGCCGACAAGTTTTTATAAGATGCGGTCCAGTGTCTCTTGAAAAAATGAAGAATTTTCGTTGTTCGTCCTCAAAATTCTTAATGCGTTGTTTCGTCATAAGATGGCCCATAATTAAATTATAAAGTATCTGATTGACACATGCGCAATCGAAGTCATTCAAAAATAGTTCAGAATTTAAATCTCACAATATCTATAGGAACATCATTTACAGTTTGACAGCTGACTCTGATATAAATCAAAGATAAGAATGACTCCTGTGTTGAGAAATATCGTTCCTCTCTAGCAATTTGCAACCTCTGGTGGATAGGTTGAAAAACCATAAAGAGTTAGTAAGCAAACATATGGACGTGACACCAATATCATCTTTGAAAAAGGACCTGGGTTCTTCTACAACCTAGTGCCAATTTTGGGTATTCCCAATATGTCAAACATATTAGAAACATGCATAATTAAAACATTAGCAATAAACATGTGATTTATATTCTTTTGCTCAAGTTATATACCACTAATCCTATTCCCTTCTAAAACGACCTAAGTGGAGAAAAGTTTTTTGGGCTTATTCCATTATTGTTATCATTAATACTGTGAAGTTTGCTCGAAATTCCAATCTCTTGAAACACAAATACTATATAATGCCCAAAAAGTACTTTAAAACTGATTCATCAACGACACAGTTTTTATTGTGTGAAAAGTAAAATTGTGTGATTTACGAGTTTTTGCAGTGATCGATTCAATTATATTACCTTGTAATAGCTCTCATTCCTCAACTGCGGCTTATTACTATTCCCCGTCAGCCGTTCCAGCACTGGGTTCCATGTGTGCATGCTGTTCATCAGCTGACCGGCAGACGGCGACTTCTCCAGCCCTAAACCGTTCGGAGGGTTGAAAATCACTGTATTTGTCGATCCGCTGCTAGCTCCAGAGTGTCCGGAATGACCGGATTGGCCGGAGTTGTCCACTGATTCTGTAGTTTTCTCGTCCAATTCGTTCGCTGAACTGCTCAGGCTTGTGTTGTTGCTTGCGTTTAAGCGATCCGACGATCTACTAGTACCTATAAGAAAAACATATGTAGGCTTATAATGTACTTGGTATATCTGAATTTGAGTGAAGACTTTCCAATTCAAAAATTTAAACAAATTCTCAACGGGTAATTAAGCTGGGATTAAGACATAAAAATCATGCGAATAGGCTAGTTGACACTTTTTCAAATGCAATAGTTAATTAATATATATTATATTAAACAAAACAAAAAATTATATTGTTTCCAGACCTAAAAGATCGTAAAACTTTAATTTTTAAATATATTTTTCTTAGACAGGCGAAAACGCTGTACACAGTGTTTGGCTCATATATTAATGTTATCTGACGTCCTACCATTTGTGAACAGCAGCTGACAGCAACATAACCACTCAAACTTTTATATACATAAACGTGACTACTAGTTTACATGAAAAATATAGTAATTATCGTTATTGTATCGTCCAAGACACACTTCGATAAAGACCTCAGGAAAGCTGTGAATTCGATTGCCCAGGGAAATATATATACGCAACACTGTATTGCTTGGAGTATACCTTATGTTTGAGACATATTTTATATTTTACTATGCAGATTTTATCGTCTAAGAAGAAATACATTATTAGATAAAATTATTCAAAAGCTGCGAACATAAGCTTAGTTTTGAATGACTTCTGAAAAGGAAGATTATGTAAGTGAATTACTTATTCTTTATTAAGTATTATAGAAGTCTCAGCAGAGCAGAAATCTGGGTTGAAGGCAGAAAAAATTACCAACCATCAATGTGCTTTCTGCTTTTACGAATCCAACGTCCATGATTGTTTTTTTTTCAATAAAACAAGAAACAGAGCTTTTTACGTTGATTAGTAGTTTTTTTTAGAGATATTTAAAGGAAACAACGTTAGTCGACCAGCGGCATATGGATGACGTTTCTTTGTTTACTATTTGTATGATGTCACATAATTGCAGATAGTGTTTTCACTGTTTCATATTAAAAATAATTTTTTTTTAAATTGGACATATATCCTTTTAAAAAATCAAAATCGATATATCTCGTTTCCCTGAGCCAACTACTGTAGGAAATATTCATTCCATGAAATTAGATGAGTCAAGTACCCTACTGAATGAGATTTTGAATTTCGCAGAAACAAGTTGCATTGTTATGTATTCAGAACAATACCATATTTTGCTAAATATTATTGCTGGGGAAGGTGTATGCAAAATTTACTTTCATATAGCAAAAATTTGGAACTTTTTCACAAAAATTAAGTTTTGTAACAACATGGATGCAAAAGCGTTTTTTTACCATTTATTTTGAAAAACATTTTAGACGCTTCGTGCACCACAGCAAATGAGTGTAAGTTTGTAGGCCTATTTATTCTAATATAAAAAAGCATAAAGATATTTTGAGGCGCAAAGCACTAAAGAAATGTTTCACAATAAAATACAAAGAAACGCTTTGAAGGTTTGACGATTTTTTTTTTCGCTACTTGCTATTTTATTTACGTTCATATAATGGATGAAACTTATTTTGACCTTGAACGTTCATAATAAAGGTTACGTCTCAAAGTAAAATTTTCTGATCTCTCCGTTTTCAGGACTAATTGTCGTAACCTTGATTTAACCGTCAAGGTCACGATCAAGGTCCGCCCCACAACAACCAGTTAATAGACAGCGAAAAATCCCAAACTACAGCATGCCTTTAGGTCCTTATTTTTGCTCTATCTTCAGACATACCCTTAAAATCTTTAAATGAGGGGTTTTACGATGACCCTGACTAGCACGTTCAAGGTCAAAATAATATTCACCAAATGTGCTATGTGAATGTAAAACGTCCTGCTCTATTCCTTTCAGAGGTCAAAACTACGTGGTCCCATTTAAAAAAAATATCGTTTTTTATTTGACCTTCAAGGTCATATTCAAGGTCACCACTGACTAGCAATGGAAAAATCCTGAACCCCTACTATTTTACTTGCATATCCTCCAAAGTCTTTCCCGTTCCGGGACTTGTGGATCATCCTGTATATTAAGAAGCCTAAATAGAAACTTTCAATTTTATGAATATGGTGAGCGAGAAAATGATATTTATCCAACTCCTTTGTACGGCGTCAACCACCCCTGTACGAACTATGGGTTCATGGACACTTTTACTCTTACAATATGCCATTTTTTCAATTAATCGCATGTCATCAGGATTATATTATATCCTTTAGAGTAAAAAAATATTTCCGACTCTTGCAAATCATAATAATAATAATAATAATAATAATAATAATAAATAATCTTTATTTCAAAATAACAGTGCACAATTACAATGTAATGTACGCTGTCAGGTGAAATATACGTCACATAATGCCATAATAGCAAACAAATGCAAGAAACAAAAATCTAAATATTACAATATAACACAATGTTTGTTTCACATTTCTAGATATTCATCGAGCCCATATGGCTTTAGATTCATTAGTAACTTGTGAATGCATTTCTTGAACTCTTTTATATTCGACAACTTTAACTTCCTGGGTTAACTTATTGTAAAGCTTTGCTCAACTGTAATGTACGTTTTTTTCGGTAATAGATGATGAATTGGGTACACCAGAGTTATATCTCTGTTCCTTGTATTGTAATTGCTAAACACATAAAAGCAACTACTATTAAATTTTGTAGTGGTACCTCTTTTATTTGATTATGCAGATGGTTTATAACAAGTAATTTTCAAATGATCTTACCTGGTGATGATGCTCTCCTAGCTATAGTCAGTGTAATATGCCCCGGTACAGGCCCTTCAGTGTGTGGAATGGCGTTTTTTAATGTCTCCATGGCATCACTATTACTTTGTTGCAAGAGCGATATACCATTCACATTTAGCAATTGGTCATTTGTTCTTAACCTGTTGTCTCTGCAAAAATGTGCAAATTTGAAAAATTGAATCATTTTGAAAGAGGTTGTTGCAAAAGATCCAATATCGGATTTTTGGTATCACCAGCAAACTACGATGTCGTTAACAAAAAAAGTATAAGAATGCTAAAAGCTTCAGCTATGAAGAAGTCTAGTTTTTTGTTTTATCTAGCAAGCTTTTATGTAACTTCACCTATTACTATGAATGAACATTGGAACAGCAAGAGAGAAAGAGAGGTATTACACGTTCTCATTGAAGGTTAAGTAGTATAACATTTTACAATCGGAAAAAATATTTGTAAATTTTAGTTAGTTAATCGGCTCACAGTTAACATAATAGCTAAAATTTAAACAGATTTTACAAATGCAATTCACGGATATTCTTAAAGAGTTATGTGGATGTTATTTTGCCAAATGAATAAATGAGTACCTTGAAGCTGCTCCTCCGCACATGACGCCCTTGATGAATATTCCCAAGTCTTTGCTTCCGCTGGTCTTCCCTTTCACGCTGATTCCCAACCCAGCTTTCTCCGTGTCAAGCACAGGGATGTTGAAAGTGAGGATCTCACGGTGTTTCCATGGGAACACCATGCTCTCATCTATCTGTTCTGGGGGCTGAGAATATATGCTTGGTAAAAACAAATCATTGGACATGATCATATCGTGTATGTTAACGCTAGTGTGTTAAATGGAGTGAAATAACCACTGTCACAAGCATGACAGTATGACAAAGTTAAAATATGGGCAAATTGTGTCGTTCGACTTTAGAATAGCATTTAATTAAGGTGTAACATTCTTAACATTTGATCATAGGATGTGACGGAATAAAAAAAAATGGTCCTATTAATGATGTTTGAGGATTGTTTTTGTTAAATTGGTAAGCAGTACGCGTATGAGATATTTTGTATGACATTTGTTTTTTAATATAACATGCACGTTATGAAGGAAACATTACATTCTATAATCATTTGAAATAAAGTTGTTGTCCATGAAAACCCAGTATTTTAATCTTTATGTATGATGTTACCCTATGTTCTTCTGGCCACCAAGTGAAACCACATACGTTGGTTTGACTGTTTACTAACGTTTCCACCACCTCAACCTTGACCAGTACAATAAAAAATGTCATTCTTAGATTTTACTTCAAAAAGTCCGTCGAGGTGGTCGAAACGTTTTAAGCAGTCAATCCATGTGGTTTCATTAGGCGGCCACAAAATATAGAGATTAATCAACATCAGAACCACATAATAAGTATCAAGTGTACGCCAAGTGAGATTTTGTTTTAAATCCACCTCCACTGCAAGTTTACGTTTGTATGAACGTTTGTTAGAATAATTATGAGTGCTGGAAATAATATTATATCTATATCTAACTATTCAGAACCAGGTACTGTTCCAACTAAATATAAAATTCACCAACCCCATTTGTTCCAAATAACTAGTTTCCAATACCAAGTTATTCCACTCTACTCAGTCAAAATGATGTACAATATAAGCAAACCAAACCACATATACATATGTACTATTCAAGAATGTTTGAGAATGAATTATTGACGGATATACGAATACTAAACTCCAACACCTCAAAAATGCCTATGAGCCAACAGGCTTTTAAATCAACAAATATTCTCTAGTTTATAAATATTATTTTTTTGCCCTACAGTACCGTATTCTATGCATAATTAATTTTAGGCTCCAAGATGTTAACTTATGGAAACAATGAATTTAAGTTTACATACAAATATACCTTCTAATTGATGCAACTGAATGGAGGCCCTAAAGGAAGACATTAAAATGTCACCATGATAATGGACATCATCTAAGGCTTAAAATTGTCTGTTATTTTGGTTCCATTTAAAGAAAATATAAAATTTTAATAATTTTAGAGAAACATATTTTGTTCACACGTCGAAAAAAACTATGTTGTTACTTCTTTGTAACTGGAAGGTCGAGACACAAAATGATGATAAAACATACTATTTCTTTGCTATTACGTGAATATTCACGAATAAATCATAAATCTGCCAATAACCCCTCTTTTGGAGTTTGATAGATTTTTCAAGAAATTCGATTACATTCGTACTTTTGAGAAACTCTGCTTATCTACCCAAAAATGGAGACTAGTCGTTTGTTTAGTTGATAGAATAAATAACTACATAACTATGACGAGCTACAATTTAATATAAAAAATATCTACGATAATTTACTGTGAAAACGCTAGATGAAATAAAAATAAGCGCGTGTGCCTACTCCTATAGCGCTACCACAGCAAAAACAGCACATACAAAAAAAAGAAAAGGCCAACATAGACATATAGATATTTACATTTGGCCTGCCGTTGGCCTGCTCCTGGAACCTCGACACGATTTCGGCGACGGACCCCTTCGAATCGGGGCTCCTTAGGTTACGCAACGCCTGCAGGTGAGTTTGGGGCAGCGGCGGCACACTAGGGGGGCACTCCTCTTCGTCTTCATCCTCTTTGCCATCTTCGCGAGGTTCCACTGCCTACGTGGACAAACAGATACAGACAACACACTAATGTGACAGTGGCATAGGGAGGCGCTACAAAGCGTGATAGGTGATGTGTGTAGTGTATTGCAAATTACAAGATAGGAATGCTAGAAACATAGAAGCCTGAAGTAAAATGCCGGAATGGTGGTGTCAGTTTCTCTATAATGAATGTAACAGAATAAAGGTTGTCACACACTAGGTCGCTGGTGTTGACCACAGCAAATCGCCAAGTAACGAAGCATGCATCTTGGAATAGTTACTTGAGCGCTCAGGTTGCGTCGATACCATACAACGAACAAACATACATACATATAGGATACAAAAACATAAATAATAGTTCAAAAAACTAAAAAAACACCGTTTTTATAGTTAACCGAACTAAAAAGTAGAACATAATTTTTAATTACAGAGTTTATAGGACAATAGTAAATGGTCGAACAATCACTCATAATTCAAACTAAAACTATAATAAAATTTAAGTTATTAACAGAACAATTCAATTCAGAGTAAAAAGCGTGGAGTGCTTAATATATTAAATATTACAATTATTCTATTGGCCACTATCTATGAGAGGAGAGTTATGAAAATGAAGTAAAACGCTTTTTACTCTGAATTGAATTATTCTGTTAGTAACTTAAATTTTATTATAATTTTATTTCGAGGTCATTAATTATGATTAATTGTTCTACTACTGTAATATAACCTCGTTGAAATTATTCTCTACTTTTTAGTTCGGTTAGCTATAAGAGCGTTTTTTTTTTAGTCTTTTTAAACTATTATTTCTTTCTCATTTTTTAGTTCGATTCATCATATAGTTTTTTGTAGACATGTGGTATTGAAATGTCTTACGAATCATTTCGTAATCTAATCATTTCTTTTAAAGCTTCACTGTTGATGGGGTTTTTCCAGTTGACTTAGAGCAATCAAGTTCTTCAATCCGAATACCGTCTAAAGATCTTACAAGAATAAGTACATACATACATACAGGCCAAGCTTATAAAAGTGCGTTAAAAAGAATCCCACAAGTTCCTATATGAGTCGTATGGAGCTCATTTACAAAGATATTGTGCCCTAGGGATGCTACTGGCATTCCGTTTTTTTCAATTATTTTTGAATGGCACTGTAGAATTAAACGAAATGTTGACACCATCTGGAGCCTTACTGATGTGTCCATGGAAAACAGTCAACTGATTTAGAAGCTAGGGACTGAATAACGCAACTATTGCCGATATTTTTATATTCTGTGTAATGATGTTGCAAAAATATGATTTTGGGAGAGTTAGTTGAAAAAATGTAATGTTGCGATAAAATTATCCGTTTTTTTTCAGTACTGTACCTATCGATTTACACTGCAGCAACTCTCCCAAAATATTTGAATTAGATTCTAAAACTTAAGTGATATAAAGATTTATATTCTGGTGTTTTTCGGATCGTTAATTATTACCAATCTGTTATCTGAACTACTCTATTTCTATCAAGCTGGTCCCAGTGTCAAAAATTAATAGAGCTATACTGAAACAACAGCGTTTTTTTTTCTAAAATAGTCCATTTTATATATTAAACTAGTACAATTTTAAAGATTAAGCTTTCTAAAAATGTTTCCGTTGGACTGTTATGATAGATGATGCATTTTCTTTAGCAACTGTTTCCCTAGCAATCCAAACGACTTAATTTTTGTTGGTAGTGCCTCGACTAGATACTAAGCTGTCAAAATTTCGTTGAGCTCTACAGTGTTATTTAAAAAAAAACGATTTCCATTATCGTCCTCTACGCGCCTGTATCATCTCCTTAGGGGAGCCCCTATTATAATAAAAAATGTCACAACCTTGCGACGATTAGTAGCTTTGCTGAAGTCACCAACGGTGAACTAACGTGCGTCAGCTTTAAAATTTAACAGCTGCTTTATATATTACGGCTGCCTCCGCTGGCATCAATGACTAGAAAGATTTCAATTCCAATCTCGCTTTTCTTAAATGTTGGTGTTATGCAAGTTCTGAGAACGATTCATAGAACACACTTATATTTGATCAGATAAGAAAAGTATAAAAACGTTTATTGGATATGGATAGTTTTTTTTTATCTAATATAAATTCAGACCAGAACCATTATTACAAAATTAAAAAAAAAACAATACATGTTTTGAATTTGTTTCACTAATGTTTTCAAGCTTTTTTAATACAAGGTAAAAATATTGCATTCAATAAAAAATTATTAACACTTTGGACTGTGACAGAATTTTATCAAAGGCGACATGGACATGAAACTGTACCAGAGATGCGAATACTAACAATTTTAGATAATTCTTATTTATCGATACCATTGATGACAGCAACGTAACTTTTATGAAGTTTGAGTTCCAGCCATTCATATACCATGGGAGATTAATGTTTAACTACTGATTTTGAGATACACTCAACGTTCAGTGCAATGATACAAATATATTTGCAAATAAAATAATTTCATAGCAAAGTAACCAAACGTATAATGAATTAAGATTCAAGATTTGATTTAAACCAAAACAAAAAACATTACCAGATAGCAAGAATTTTAGAAATGATTTATTCCTCAAAGTAAGAAACCTTTAAAACCCAAAAACTTTTTAATCAAGAGGGAATGTATGGTATTTACAAATTCACTAATGGAAGACTGAGACAAAACACCCTTAGTTGTATAACAAAACAGCATACAGTAGCTTAAGCAAATAAAAACAACGTGTCGGGTACATCAGCCCAAAGCTCGCAGCGCTAGTACCACGATGACTTTTACATGTTGAAGATATTAAGGCCCGTATCGTCAGTCGTCCCTACAATTGTAAGGCGCGTTTATGGCCTCCTTGATTGTCACTCTTTTCTCTCCTTCAAAAATTTCTAGATTACACTTGTCCCGTGTCAGCGTCAGCGCTCTCCTAATGTGAAGATATGTTTTCTTTTTAAATTGTAGGAAATTTCAGGCTGATAAAACATGATATAACTCAAAAGTAAGCACAATTGATGCAAATAGATGTTTGTGACATAACCTCAAAGTAGAGCGCTGTCTCGGAGGAAACTATGACAATCAAGGAGGCCATAAAGGCGCCCTACAATTGTAGGGTCGACTGACGATACGGGCCTAAGTGATCACTTTAGTAGCCTTAATTAGCAGTAAGTTCTGATGAGCATGACCGTAACTTTTCATATGTATATAACACCAATTGAGTGAGTAAACCTATTTTAACTGTTACCCAAATTACTCTCTCTCTTGCACATGCACTACCGTCAAATGCAAACATTCCAATATGCTTTAGGGAATGTGAAATTAAGGAAATCATATCCCACTTACAATGATTCTTGGTAACGTATTCTCCACGACGTCTTCCTGCCTAGATACAACGATTCTGACTTTGCTGCCTAAAGGTAGACTTTTAAGTAGAGCTACTGCTTCACTTTGCGTTTTGCCACTCATTTCTACGCCATTAACTTCTAGCAATCTGTCTCCGATTTTTAAGCGTCCATCTTCTATTGCAGGCCCCTATAATATAAAGCAAACATTTATAAGTTTTGGACTGGTTTTACCGAAGCATCTGTCCGTAGAACAGATCTTTATCGGGAATAGATGTTTGTGCTTCTTTTGGGACAAGACAGGAAACCCACTCTATGAAATACGTATTTTACGAATAAAGCTACAATAACACTCGTACAATTTTTTGATGTTAAATGACCTTAAGTCAGCACTTACCATGGCATTGATATTTTTTATATAAATAGGACATTTCCCACCAGCAGGATTATCCCTGGTTGTAATACTGAATCCCAATCCATGAGGCCCTTTGGTAAGTTCTATTTCTATTTTCCTTCCTATTTTCCTAGTATTTGCAGTAAGCAATCCCTTCAAGTTTTTCGAAATTGCAGGCACTTTTTTAGTTGGAGATACTGTAGCCACTTTTGTGTTTGTACTCTCTGAAATTGATAGATATCTAGTAAAAAATAATTTAAAAATGGAAAACAAAATGCTGAAGCAAGTCAAAAGTGTTTCATGCCAAGACAATTACTATAAAAACGTCGAAAAAGAGGTGAACGCTTTGTAAAATGAATATAGTAAGTTGAGTTAAGAAGCATATACTTACGTTTCTGTTCACATTCTACCATGGACATATTCTCCTTATCGTCTGGAAATTTTGGATACACAGGCGGTGGAGGTTTCCGAAGCCCTTCTAGTCCGGAAGCTTTGATAACTTTCAGTCTTAATTCGGGAGAAGTAAGGGAAAGTTTAAACAACTCTTGTACCCTGAAAACGAATAAACCTAATATAATTTTCTTATGCGATGTGTAAGAATCCTTTATAACAATGATCATCAATTAAAACACTAAACGTTTTTCATTTGCGGATATAAACTGCATTATTTTTACCTTTGGAATGGCATGTTTATAAGATTTTCTCCATTGATTTCTATAACTCGATCGTATATGGCCAAACGTCCATCCCTATCAATTCGTCCCCCAGGTTCAATTCCCTTGACCAGGAGCCCTCTTTCTCTACCTAAGGTATCGTAGTCTGGAATAACATGAATCCCTGGAAAGAAAAAACAATGTATTTACTAATATCACAGTAAAAATTAAGAATCTGAGGAGCGGCAAAATATGCCCTCAAAATTAAAACGTCAGATTTCGCAGCAAATCTGTGATGTAATAATCTCTAGAGTAACCTAGGTTTGTCCTCACAATGTGACCCTACTTCTCTTATGGAGGGTAGTCTTTCAGCTGCGAGAAAAATTATTTTTATTCCTTGATGTTTGACTTTCTGGCATTCTCTATCAATGTATCTCAATCACATACAAGACGAAGTTGAACTGAATAGTGGATGTAAACAATCTATTTCAGCCATTAAAAATGATTTTTTGTCTATACTGAGAAGTATCATATTAGAACATTGTATAAATATGTGGTCTTTTGCTTGTAAGAACAACAAGAGTACAATAGTTGAAGTCCAGAGTAAATAAGTTCAATATCTTGAATAACTTACTAACAAAATTATGAATTCTTACCTAATGGACCAGGTTCATTCCGTATCACAATAAGTTCACCATTGTCAATGGAAGAAGGGGATGGAGAGCTGTTCGCTTGACCAAGGGGTTCTTTTCTACGCGCTTCTCGAGGTAGTGATGTACTGATGTGGTTCCTAGTGGCTGCCCTTTCAGCAGCCTCTGCCCAACGGTACCTATACCAAGAAAAATTTACATGAATGGAGATTTTGCCTGATCAATAGACTAAAATATGAAATCGAAATAGCTTTGTGCACGGTGGATTTACATTTGCAAAAATGTAAGAACGATTTTTGTAGGATGTATTTCATGTGTTCGTGGGCTAGAGACCAGGATTCTGATTCCTACATAGTTCCTACCCACAGATACTCCAATATGTCTTACATCTCCGGATTTCTCAGGAGACTAGAAGTTATTATTATTATTATTATTATTATGTCTTTATTGAGTATTGTTATATACAATGCAGAAATCTGCAACAGGGCGAATTTGAATGAAAATAAACAAAAGCCTAAGACACAAAACCGCAAAGCGAAGAGTATATAATCAAAAACTATTGAACTATCCATTACATTGACTATTGTAATAAAATTGCCTTACCAGGACTTTAAACATCGGTACAGAACTAAACTTAAGCGCGTCATCGATACTATTGTATATAGTAACAGCATTATATGAAAAAGATTTTCTAAATAAAGATAAACGAAACTTAGGAAGAGAAAGTTTATTAGTGAACCTCGTATTCAAATCATGCAAATCACGCCTAAAGACTAATTTTCTTTTCAGGTAAGCAGGGCTCTGTGATGATAAAATACGGTGAACTAAAATAGAAGTATAATATTTATGAGTATATTCCAGTTTTAACCATTTTAACTCATTTATTTTAGCTGAGATTCGATCAAACTTTTTGAGCCTAAAAACAAATCTACAACAGCAATTTTGTACCTTTTGAAGTCTGTATTTCAAAATAGACGTTAAGAAGGGATAATAAAGCGTGATTGCATGATTTAAAATAGGTAATACTAGGCTCTCTGGGAGCTTTTTACGTAATTATACCACCATTTCGATACAGTAGCCTTAAAACTAGGTAAGTCTTTTTCACTAATAGTGAGACGTACTCTTCAAGTCTGAGCTTACAGTCGAAAATAACACCAAGATTCTTTGCACTATTAACTACTGAGACTGATTTTCCATTTAATGTTAAGTCGATACGCTGCATAAAAATTTCATAACATGGCGGAGAGAAGATAACAACTTGACATTTATCTGGATTGAGGTTTAAGTTGTGATTAAATGAATATTTTTGAATATTTTCTAAATCTTGATTAATATAAGCAGATGCGGTATTTATAAATCTAGGATCGAACGACAGGTATAATTGTGTGTCATCAGCATAACCTTGTATCTTGCAATAAGTGATAGTTTTAAAAATATCAGGCGTATATATAATAAATAGCAAAGGTCCTAATATGGAGCCTTGAGGGACTCCAGAAGTCACAGGCTGGAAGTCAGAATACGAGCTATTATCAACCACAAAACATTGGTAACGGACCTGAAGGTAAGATTTGAAAAGTCGGCAGCCCAATTGATTTATACCATAATATCGTAACTTTGCAAGAAGTAAGCAGTGATCAATCGTATCAAACGCCTTCGAAAAATCAAGAAATACAAGAGCTGTAGCAAGGCCAGCGTCGAGAGATCTAATAATATCATCTGATACATTTAAAAGGAGCGAAGTTGTGCTATAGCCCCTTCTGAATCCAGACTGTGATTCAGGTATAATTTGGTTAGAAATCACAAATTCATATAACTGTAAATAGATCACCTTCTCCAGTAGTTTAGACAGAGCAGGCAGTATACTAATTGGTCTTAAGTCATTATATACAGACGGTATGCTTATTTTGGGCAACGGTTTTATAAGAGCATATTTCCATAAACTAGGATAATAACCAACCTCTATGCAGCAATTTATAATATGAGTTATGTGTGGGGCAGTTACAGAAATAGAGTATTGTAGCATTTTTGCACTAATTTCGTCCACACCATATGCGCTAGACGTTAGATCAAGAACCAGTTTTTTTACTTCATCCACATTAGCAAAATTAATAGAAAAAGAAATATTAGAAAATTTGGCTGAATTATAAAATGCAGTAGCTTCAGGACAGCTATTTGATGGACTAAAGACTGAAAGAAAATGACTTATAATTTCAAAAGGTTCTTTTAGCTGTAGAGGTATATCTGTATTATGTTTTCTTTTGATATTGAGGCGATTGACTGCTTGCCAGAGATCTCTATAGTTACGACAGTTTAGTGTTGATGACAAAAATACAGCTTTTTCATGTCTCAAAGCAGAGCACACAGAATTGCGCAAATCTTTATATATAGCAAAGTCCGACAGTTTACCGGATTTTTTATACTTTTGCAAAGCTTGATCCCTTTTTTTCATCATAGCTTTGAGGTTAGGGGTAACCCACGGAGCAAAAGGTTTTGTTATGCGAGAGGTTCTAACAGGGGCATGTCTGTCAAAAAGATCGACTATTAGATTATTAAACAGCGCTACTTTATCATCGAGATTATTTATATAGAAAATATCATTCCAAGGTAAATTTACTAAGTGAATTGAAAGCATCATACGAAAAATTTCTGTAATCTCTGTATTTTAATATGAACGGCTTAGGACGCGATGTTCGGTGTGAGAGCTCACAGTAGATTGCTTTGTGATCAGATATGCCAAAACTATCAATAACACCCGAGTTTACAACTCTTTCATTTGCACTGGTAAAAATTAAGTCAATTATCGTTTGTGATAAGGCAGTTATTCTAGTTGGCGCTGTAATGAGTTGATGGAAATCATATGAAATAAAGCAATGATTGACTTCGTTATCATACGATTGATCGACGTTGAAATCTCCAAGAACTATAATGTGATCAAACTGGGGAGTAATAAAGGAAAGGACACTGTCCAGATAATCCAAAAAATCATTATTGCTTACTGATGGGGGCCTATAAATTACACCAATTATCAATACCTCACCATGCGTTTTTATAGACAACCAGATGTGCTCAATTCCCAGAAAACCATCAAAATCTTGAAGTATTTGCTTGCAAGCCATAGAGTTTTTAAAATAGATCCCAACTCCTCCACCCCTGGTAGAGCGATCATTTCTAAGTAAAGAGAATCCTGGAATACCAACTGCTCCACTAGAGATATCACTGTTCAACCAAATTTCAGAAACGCACATAACATCAAAGTCAAAATCCAATACTAGATGAACAAAACAATCAAAATGAGTGAAAATAGATCTGCAATTCAAGTGGCCAATTTTTATGTTTTTATTTTTCATATTGAATTCTATCCTTAAGTTGTCCTAATTTGTTAAGGTAGCACAAACATTGAGTGCTATTAGCTGAATGGTCAGTAGGAAAAGTTCGCTCATGTTCAACCGATTTCAAAAAAATATCGACACCACCACCGCATCAACTGGGAACCTCCTACAGCCTACGTAATACAATGGTCACGTAAGCTTATTCAGTGAGTTGGTGACGTTCACCTTAGTGATGTTTATATTATAAATTTTTTCTGTGACATGGTGCTCTCTTATACAAACGTTCCATCCCCAGAAGCTTTGCTAACTTCTTCTCCGACTTTATGAATATTTCGCTATTAAATGTCTTACAATATTAATGCGGATAGTGGTCAATTTTTGACTCCAAGAGAACAATACTTGAATACGGGAGACCAGAATGATCAATAGCAAGTGGGTATGGTTTCAGAACTTGCGTAACTTAAAAAGTGACATTATATCGATTTTTAATGATATTATGTAGGTTTTCTGAAAAATGTGACCTTGGAACTAGCTATCTTTCACTTCACGTTCACTTGTATCAGCTGGGTTGCGTTCGTATATTGTTACATGGTTTACTTTGTACTACTTACTCTGTAACAATTTTTACATTCATCATAGATGACTTACCTTCCACCGAGAATTCTAGCCCGATTGTCACTGTACCTCGGTAAAGGTCTATACTTAGTAAACTGTTTAGTGCAACTGCTCTTTTGTTCCAGGAGTATCGAGAAAAGTCTTTCTCCAGTTCTACTGACCTTAGACAGTGTAAAACTTATATAAAACCGATATCTTCGGTACTACAGTGCTTTGTCAAAAGTTAAAACACAGAAAGAAACTTACCCACTACCGTCCATGCCAAGAAACTGCACCGACAACCTGCTACTACCGTCTCTGCCAACCCTTCTGAACCCACCCCCACCCTTGTCGTCTTCCTCAACTTCCGGCCAATCAGATGGCGACGCGTAACCCGAGCTGGCCACCGGCTCCATGATGACAGGGGCGGCGCTCCATCGTTTCGTGTGGGCGGCGTTTGGATGAATTGAGGTAGGAGGGAGAGGCGCCAGGGTGGGTTCGCTGCCTCGACGGACCTGGAGGACTGGGAGGGTGGAAGCGATTTGTTCCCCTGTTACCTCGATGTCTGTTGGCCGGGGAGGGTACGGTGGAGGGTATTTGTGGCCGTCACCGTCCTAAAGTAGATAAAAATGGTTGAATTAATTGTTAGCACAAATAATACATTTTTTAAAAATATAAAATTTTGTGTGAGGAATGCGAATCAAAAACCATGGCAACATTTTAGACCAGAAAATGGATTTAAAAATAACGAAAAACTCCTATGAACATAGGCCCTAAAACATCACAAACTATGTAGTATACGGGGAGATATACCATATTTTTCAATTAATAATGCGGTGATTTAGGTTGTTCGAATATTATACTACAATTCCATTTTCAATACCAAACTTCCCTAACTTCAGGGTATTTTTGAAGTACAACAGATTTACGTTTTTTTTTTGGCAAGGAATTCAAACCATTTTCCTCCAGAGTGACGGTTTTACAAAAAATTTAAAAAAACTCTTTCACATAAGATTAAACATGTTATTTAAAAATGTTTCCACAAAAAAACATCCGCGTAAGGATTTCACTTTTTTCAGTCAATATAAATTATTATCAACAAAAGACCGATTTTACTGTGCGAAACTAACACTGAACCTCGTTAAAGGGGATTCAATCCTACAACATTTTCAAATTCCAGGTTATGTTTTAATGAGATAAATTGTAGAAATCAAACAGTCGTGCCTTAGAAAAAACTGATCAAACCCCAAGGTTTTAATTGCCAAATAAACAACCTCTAATTTCTATTTATTATTGAATGACGTCTCCTAAAAAATCAATAATTCACTTTGACATAATATGACATCTGTGTGCAATTGAAATACTGACAAATGCACGATGGCAGAAATCCAAGAAAAAAAAATCCAACAAAAGCGGAATTTATTGCCCAGGCCGTTTTATCGCCCACCTTTCTGCATTTCTCATTTATTTACTGGACAGTAAACAGAACATTATGTAACTTGAAACATCATAAATATACATTAACGTATGTTCATTATCTAGGTACAACTGTTATTGTGGTCACCTCATTACCGCATTAGAATAGGCCGCTGGAATATGGTGGACTACACTTTCCATACGGCAAAAACAAAGGCAACACAGAAGAAATGAAAGATTTACAGAAATATTATTTCAATTTTGATAACCATAGTTTACAATTTTATAAATAAGGGGATGTTATTTTTATTACAAAATCATAAGCCACTTTACATACTAATTCGGGTGATACAAGATGCAGGTGGAGCAAAAGCAATATTATAATGTAAATTGACTGCCATCTTGGAAATGAAAGATAATATCGGTGAAATATTCATCCACTCAAATCGTACATACTTATGCTCCTTATCCGGTTTTTTAAATTCTGAATTTTGAGCCAAATTGGTGATTTCGTCTTAAACATTGACTGGCAAAAAATCATTTCACTGGTATCATTTTTTCATTTCCAAAACAATGGCAATTTATTATTCATAGTTTTAAATAAAGTGATGTTTTTGAAATATGTCTAGTGTAGCAAATATCCGAAGAATGGAGTTTAGTATGTGTAAAGGGAAATAGGAGAGTACCAGCATGATTTAATGAAGGGTAAGTCTACAATTGATGCTATACATACAGTAACGCAGGCATTTGACAACACAGCTCGGCGAAAATTGGTAGAAGAAATGAGAGACTTGAATATCCAAGAAAAGCTTATAAGACTGGTGAAACTGACAATGGAAGGATAGAGAGCAAGAATTCTAGCAAAAGAAGGATTGAAGTACGTATAAAGAAAGAAGTAAGACAAGGAGATTTACTGCCAACAACACTCTTCACTATAGTCGTAGAGGGAACTGTAAGGGCCACAGGAGTTAGAAGAACGATTGGTCAAACCATGACTTAACTACTTAGTTGTTTATGAATGCAGATGACATAGCGCTTATTGCTAGCAGCAAAAGGAGCCTAAAGGAAGCTCTGTTGAAAGTATCTGATGAAGGAAAAAGAAGAGGTTTACAGATAAATCAAGAGAAGGCGGTAAGTAGTATTACTAAAATTAAAATATGAGAATACCGATTTGAAAGAGTATCTAAGTTCAAATACTTAGGGGTGTTAGTGACCGATAAAAATGAGAGGGCAGCGGAAATCACAGAACGGATACAGAACAGGTCATACTGGAAGTACCACAGATTACTACAGGATAGGAACATAAACAAACAATCCAAATACAGATGTACAAAGTTGCAATGATGCTTTCAACTATGTATGGAGCGAAGACCATGTGCCTTACAATGAAAGGCCAAGAGAGACTCCGAGTGATAAAACGCAAAATTATCCGAAAAATTAAATGACCAATAAAAGAAGACGAAGGGGGCTACTGAGAAATGATGAAATTCTTAGAGTGTCGAATGGGGAATATATTGTAAGATTTATCAAGTCGCAAATGTTGGTGTGGGCAGGGCATATCGAAAGAAGAGACAGTAATGTGATCAAGAAAATTACTAAACGGAAGCCAACGACTGCTATATCAAGAGAAAGACCCAAAGTAAGCTGGGAAGACCAAGTAGGCACAGACATAGAAACTCTTGGAATTGAAAGTTGGCGAGAACTTTGTATGAATACGAAAAACAGGAAGAAGTCACATGAAAAAGTATAAGAGAAGATATGCAAGAACATGCGGCGTGGTTGCCCGCATGAACCAGAACTGTCCAAGTAGGGCGGTAATCATTACACTAGGAATGTGAACGCCATTCACTTACGTGATTTCAGTATTTTACGAAAAAAATGTATATTCAAGTATTCTCGCTTTTTTCTAAGAAGAATAAGTTTTTCCACACCCTGTTCTTAGAATATGACTTTACTTCTTATACATAGAGGTTTGTTACCCGTCAGGTGTTAGTAAAATAACCTTTATTCCCCGATATTGACAGCTTCACATGAAAAATATGGTCACATTCTAATAGTCCTCGAATAAAAATCATGTGAGTAAAATAACTTTTATTCCCCGATATTGTCAGTTTCACATGAAAAATATGGTCACATTCTAACAGGCCTCGAATAAAAATCAAATGCTATTGGCTAAATCCCTTGGCGGGAAATACGTAGGATTTAAATCCATTATTTTTCATGCATGAATTTCAAGTACGTTTTTTCTAGCACAGCAAGAAAACAGAGATAAAATGCATCTTGATAATGCATATGAACAATTTAGTCTAGCTTTTAAAAATGTAATTTTGTATACGCAGATAATTCCCCGTTGATGTCTTTCTCTTGACGCATCATTCAAATCACCTCATCGATGAAGTTACGGCAACCTGGCACCTCTGTACAACTCCAGCCCTTTCATGTCGGATGTTCATACTTTTTGTTTAAATAAGATATTCTGTAACCATCAAGAACTATCCGACAGATTTATTTGGCCGTTGTTTAGGAAACGGTTTCTTTAGCATACAAAAAGAGAATCTCGATGAGTTCAAAACACATATCCACGGACTCGTAACATTTTGCAACTTACTTGGAAGATGTCCGGACTGCCCGTCCCCACAGAACTACCACTCGCTCCATCGCCGCCCCCGTGTAGATGTGCGCCGTCCCCGTCCTCGAAGCTGGCCAAAATCTGCTCTCTGTCATCGACCACGTCACTTAACCGGTCGTCCGGGTCCAAAATGCCTCCACCTTGGGATTGGAGGTTGTGAACGGACACCCATGAGTCAGCACCCTGTAAAAGAAATGCGAAGTTGAGTTTAAATTGTCTTAAGCTCCCTACGCCACTGGCGAGGAAGTATTGTAATCGCGAAATTTTTCGGAGATTAGATATGTTTTTTCGATCTACATCACGAAAAACCATGTGACTCATTTCTGTCACCGTCTATAACTTGGAAGGTACTGCTCCAATTTTAATGAAATTTTCACACAAGGTTACTACTACGCCAAGGACGAAGGAGCTTTGTAGTTTTTGAAAATCGGTGTAGTGGTGGTGAAGTTAAAGGAAAACACCGGTCAAACTTTGGTTTGATAAGTTTCACAGACTCTTGATGGTCCTTGAAATCCATTTGGAGTAGCTAAAAATTGCGGGTAAGGAACCTACAACCGTAAGGAGTGAGGGTTCGCAAATATTGCATCTTTAGTATAATTGAAAGACATTCCACCCCTAAGTAGTTCCTGATGCCGGTAATACAACGTATATATGTCATCATAACAGTTCTACACATCTTGGATTTAAAATCAGGTTCCCATCTGCTGCTAGCTTGCAGAAGAGACCATGAAACGACATTCACGGACACGTACACGGGCGCGCGCAGGGAGAGTCCAGGGGGTCGATTGCATATTTAGCATGTTTTTGTGCATAATTTTGAGGATTTTTTGGATTTGATACTCCCGCTCTCCAAATAGTTTTGGGGATAGGTACAATTTCGGAAAAAGATATATATTGCCAATGATAGGCCTCCCCCGGAGAAATATTCCTGCGGGCGCCCATTAACGGGTGTTTTTTTTTCGAGGTATAGAACTTTAAGTTGGCATTACCGATTTGACAGCTCTCAAGTGATTTATTCTCAGTTTGGTTTGGAAATTCATCATGAATAGACTCACGCCTGAACAACGCTTGCAAATTGTGCAGGACCTTGGTGCGCGCTTACAAAATCCAATTCGTGAAAGAATTGAAGCCAAACGATCATCAAGCAAGGCGTAGATTAGTTGAATGGGCCCAAAACGAGATTGCCGTTGCTCCCGATTTTCATAAGTGAATTTTGTTTAGCGATAAAGCGCACTTTATGGGCTGGTGGAATCATTGGTCCGTACTTCTTCAAAAACGATGATGGCCAGAACGTTACAGTCAATGGTGATCGGTATAGAGCCATGATTACTAACGTTTTCACTCCTGAATTGAACAATCATGATGTCCAGGAGCTGTGGTTCCAACAAGACGGCGCAACATGTCACACAGCTCGTGCTACAATCGATTTATTGAAAGTTACGTTTGGTGACCGCCTAATTTCACGTTTTGGACCTGTGAATTGGCCTCCAAGATCTTGTGATTTATCACCGCTAGACTATTTTCTGTGAGGCTATGCAAAGTCATTGGTCTATGCGGATAAGCCACAAACGCTTGATCATTTGGAAGACAACATTCGCCATGTCATTGCCCATATACGGCCACAAATGTTGGAAAAAGTTATCGAAAATTGGACGTCCAGATTGGACTACATCCGAGCCAGCCGCGGCAGTCATATGCCAGAAATCATATTTAAAATGTAATGCCACAAGATTATCTTTCGAATAAAAAAAAATCATGTCAATCGAATAATCCATCGTTGTTTTATTGCAATTTAAAGTTCTATACCTCCAAAAAAACACCCGTTATTTATACGAGGTGGGTGCGATATTATCTATATGACATGCACCCACTCTGGTCCCACCTTAGGGATCCGGCGGGTAATAAATCCATGTTTAACGACCAGTAATCGTGTACTCCATACTAACAATCACGTTTTATTGTTATTTAATGTCACAAGTTTCTATGAAAAATACTTACTGAGCTCCCTTACGAGATACAGGACACTGAAGGACGCTACTGGATTTTCTCAGGATTTTTCTTACATAACTCTTGAACAACATTGTAAATTCTATGAGCCAGTTGAGGCCTCACATGACAGTATCCATAAAAAATCAGTTCACTCATATCGCAAGGGGCGAACCAGCTCTAACGCAATATTGCTATTTTTTCACATCCTGTATAATACTGACTGATATTTTTGGGAAACCTAATCACTTAGCTCAAAAAGTATGTATGCTTGAATTCGAGCAAAACTATCTGTTTTAATACTGTTCCTATCGATTAACACTGCAGCCCATCCCTAAAAAGTTTGACAAAAACCCAAAACTTGACTAAGTTCTGTAAAAACGTATACCCCTGGGTTTTTCCAGTCGCTAACTGCGAACTTATTATCGGAACCACCAAGTTTGGCGGAGCCAGTATGGTATATTTGATCTAATACCATATATGTAAATGATAAAACTGCATAATCAGTTTTTTTAAATACAGGGTGGCGCATCGAAAACAAAACAGACGCATTTACTGGCAGCTCAGTTTTTTTTTTGAAAAACGCTCAGACCCGTCGATTTTGTTTTCGTGGGGTACACGAGTTTGGCAAAAAATCACGTTAGCACGTGCAGCCCCCTAAGCGGGGGTGACACCACCCCCAAAATCTTAAATGGAAAGGGGGGTCGAGTGATACCTTATTTTAAAGGTCTTTCAATTCCCTTTATAATGATATAAAACTAATGTACTTCAGTTCAGTAGTTTTGAAGATTTATTGATTTAAAGCTTAAAGTAGACTTTAATAGGTACATCAGATTAGTTTGTACTACTTTCAGAAGAAATCTGAATAAAAGAATTTGCTTAATAAGTAAATGCTTTTCTTCCCTACGCCCATGGTTTGTTTATCATTTTGTTGTTGAAAATAGCTATTGGAGCGTTTTTTTGTGGCATAAAAGTTATTTCTTGAAGAAAGATAAGGAAATATCTCGTACTTATTATTTTAAATAGGAATTTAGTACATAGATTGCGATTGATTTGACCAAACTTTGTTGCTAAAATAACTTGTAACGCTTTATTACATAAATTAACCATGGTATATTCCACAGCAGAAAGAGTTGAAATTATCGAAATATTTTTCGGAAATAATCAGTGCGCTAATAGAACAGCAGAAATATTTAATGAGCGACAAGAGAACAGTAACGTGGATCGAAAATATGTTCTAGAACTTGTAGCTAAATTTACGCATTACGTGTTCGATAATATTTGGATCAGACGTTTCCAGATCGATGGATTGGTAGAAGAGGTGCCATTGAATGGCCCCCAAGATTGCCAGATTTATCACCTTTGGGTTTCTTTATGTGGGGTCATTTAAAAAGCAAAATCTATGCTACTCAGCCAACATCATTAGCAGACCTGCGACAAAGAATTGTGAATGAGTGCCTTCAAATTACTCCTCAAATATTGCAAACTGTGCGGCAGCGTTTTGACCAAAATCTTTATGCATGCAGAGTCATGGTGGCCATTTTCAACATTTAATAGCCTAACGGGTCAGTTCACTCTTCATTTTTAAATTACTTTGCTGCCAAATGTATTGATCTCCACTAATGATGATGTATTAGTTTTATTTAAGCTTTAAATCAATAAATCTTCAAAAATTCTGAACTGAAGTACATTAATTTTATATCATTATGAAGGGAATTGAAAGACCTTTAAAATAAGGTATCACTCGACCTCCTTTCCATTTAAGATTTGGGGATGGTATCACCCCCGCTTGGGGGCTGCACGTGCTAACGTGATTTTTTGCCAAACTTGTGTCCCCCTCGAAAACAAAATCGACGGGTCTGAGCGTTTTTCAAAAAAAAAACTGAGCTGCCAGTAAATGCGTGTTTCGTTTTCGATGCGCCACCCGGTATAATAAATATCATTTATTATATAAAATTTAAAAAATTAGCAATGTTACTTTAGGATCAGTTTGTCCATGGCGATCTAAATATGTATGTTAATTATTTTCTATAGATATCAGCATGTGAGACCACAACTGCTTACCTACTTCGCTGTAGAAATTTTGTTTAAATTCTACATGTCTCTCTGAGATTACTAAATGAACCAATTTTCAGTAACATCTTTGTCTGTATCATCTCAGTAGTAGATCCTCTTAGGCCATTTTTATAGGAATTTGTCACTTTATCTTGTGTTCTATATGTATCTGAGTGATTACAATCTTATTTCTCGACATTATTTATATTTTGTATCCCTAATTATAAAATGATATTTTAAATAACTGGGTTTCGTCAGGTCATCTTAAAATTGATAAGTCCAGTGATATTATTTTAACAACTCTTTACTCTGAAGGTGATACAATCAGGCCAGTTATGACAATGCATCTTACACCACATTTACGTATTTAGTGCACAATTTAGGAACACTTTTTATTAGTCTTTGATTAATGCGCTAGTATTCGTTACACTGCTGTGGCAATCAACATTAAAACCGCTGCTGTCCCAGGAAGCGCGTCTCAAAGTTCGTTGCATAATACGTAAGTTGAAACAATTTTGCAAGCGTTGTAAATCTTGCATCTTTGGTATCAGTAAAATACCTTGTATTAAACGAAATTAAAATGCTAATAAGTATAAAATATTTTGAATTTGAAAAAGGTGATTGTCATAGAGACTTAAAACATACAAGGTGTTCCATTTAACAAGTACAACTTTATTCTTTATTCAGCGACTCTCTCCTAAGCACCATTCTGTGATGCAGACATTGCTTCAGATTTATCTCACAGTGTTACCCAACGTTGAGGGAATTGCTTAGATTTGCTATATTCCAAATTGTAATCAAATTAAATGTGGTAATCGTAGGAGTAAAAAAAATCTATACATAATTCTATGGAGAATGCCATTATTAACCTGGCACATTATATCCATCGGCGCTATGCGCTTGAGGATATAAAAGCTCTCGGTCAATGATGGCATACTTCCTCACTAAGGTATGTAATGTACTAGTTTTTGTGATGCAGACATTGCTTCGGATTTATCTCACAGTGTTGAGGGAATTGCTTAGATTTGCTATACAGGGTTATCCAAATTAAGTGTCCACCATTGGTAACTTTGTTATTAGTAAAAATACAAAGTTGTTTAAATTAGCAAACTAGTAGTATTTTTAACGCTGGTAAAAATGAG